CAAGAAGCTTCCAAGAGGGCCCCAGGACAGCCCAAGAGGGCCCCAAGACGGCCCAAGAGGCGCCCAAGATGGCCCAAGAGGGCCCCAAGACGGGCCCAAGAGGGGGCCCAGAGGGGGACCACGAACCGCAAGCTCGAGCCTTCCGCCCCAAGAGGCCGCCAGGAGGCCCCCAGGAGGCCCCTCAAGAGGCCCCAGGAGACCCCAGACGTCCAAGGACGCCCCCAAGAGGCCCCAAGAAGCCTCCAACATGTGTCCCAAGAGGGCCCCTAGACGCAAAAATTGGCCCATTCCCTTCGTAAAACGTACATTTTCAACAAAGTTGTTTTTGGGCTTTCCGACGTTACAGGACGGCCCAAGAGGCGCCCAAGACCGCCCCAAGACGGCCCAAGAAGCTTCCAAGAGGGCCCCAGGACAGCCCAAGAGGGCCCCAAGACGGCCCAAGAGGCGCCCAAGATGGCCCAAGAGGGCCCCAAGACGGGCCCAAGAGGGGGCCCAGAGGGGGACCACGAACCGCAAGCTCGAGCCTTCCGCCCCAAGAGGCCGCCAGGAGGCCCCCAGGAGGCCCCTCAAGAGGCCCCAGGAGACCCCAGACGTCCAAGGACGCCCCCAAGAGGCCCCAAGAAGCCTCCAACATGCGTCCCAAGAGGGCCCCTAGACGCAAAAATTGCCCATTCCCTTCGTAAAACGTACATTTTCAACAAAGTTGTCTTTTGGGCTTTCCGACGTTACAGGACGGCCCAAGAGGCGCCCAAGACCGCCCCAAGACGGCCCAAGAAGCTTCCAAGAGGGCCCCAGGACAGCCCAAGAGGGCCCCAAGACGGCCCAAGAGGCGCCCAAGATGGCCCAAGAGGGCCCCAAGACGGGCCCAAGAGGGGGCCCAGAGGGGGACCACGAACCGCAAGCTCGAGCCTTCCGCCCCAAGAGGCCGCCAGGAGGCCCCCAGGAGGCCCCTCAAGAGGCCCCAGGAGACCCCAGACGTCCAAGGACGCCCCCACGACGCTTCGCGTCACCAATTTCTTCTCACAACGATTCCTGGGTCTGTGACTCGACAGAACCTAAGCGCGCGCGAAGCGCGCGCGTGGTTCTAGTATATATATATATATATATATACATACATATATGTATTATATATGTACAATATATAAATATATATATATATATATATATATATATATATATGTATATATATATACACCGGGGGAGGAGGCCGCCTGGACGGGCCAAGGGACCACCGGGGGCATGACGTGTCACGGCTTCCGGGAGCGCTCACAGACGGCCCAAACCAGTCCCGAAACGTGCTGAAAAAAGGACTCAAAAAAGGCTCCAAGACGGTCCAATGCAGCCCAGAGAGTCACCGAACCATCGCCCCAAGACGTCCAAGATGGCCCCAGGGCGCTCCGTAACCATGGTTCAAAACATTGTGGCAACTCTTCAGGACATTTGGTTTGCGCCTATTGCAAGCCCCTGTTACTCCGCCGTTGCCGCAATGCGAGCGTTCGCCATCCTGCCACGACTTAAAGACCTCGGAGGAACGCTGCCTGGGAGGACGATTCGCATGCGATCTACTCCAGTCACGGACGCCAGTGAGCTGTGAGTTCGGAGTGCCCTCAAGCAAACACTTACTGCAAACACTTACTGCTGTAAGGGATGGTTTTGCCTGGTGGGTGGCAAACAACAAGTTTCAAACTTGCTGTGTGGGTGATAAGGTTGTTCCAGGATATAAGTGCGCATGGGGACGTACGGGCGAGTGCACAAGTGGGTATTGTTGTAGCGGCAGTGGTGACCCGAAATGTCGCCCGTGCTAGCTCAATTGTCCTCTTCTGAATCCCGCTCGGTATCATGTCCTGCCCGCTCATATGATAACCTGCGCGTTCATTTTAAAGTCGGGTTCGCCGGGTCTGTCCGCCCGGCGCGACCCCAGCGAAGCGAGATTGGCAACGCGAGATGGGTGAAGCGAACCGTAAGGACAACAACAAAAATGATGGCCCCAAGGCGTCGCAAGAACGCGCCCATACGCTTCAAGGTGCCTCCCACAGGCTTATCAAAATGCCCCCAAGAGTGCAACAAATTCCAATTCCTTTGGGAACATACATTTTTAGCAGAAGCACCTTTTCGCTTTTCTGACGCTCCAAACAGTCCAAGAAGCCCCGAAGACCGCCTAAACGCAGCCCATGAGGGCCCAACTGACCCCAAGATAACCCAAGAGGGACCCAAGACGGCCCAAGAGACACCCAAGATGGCCCAAGAGGGCCCCAAGACGGCTTTAAGAAGGGGCCCAGACGGGGGATCCGAACGGACTTTCTGGGCCCTCGGCCCCGAGCCTCGGAACTGCTTCCAGGAGCCCCCCAAGAGACCTGCCACGAGATCCGAGCGAACTGTTCAGATGCTTCAGTGAGGAGCGCCAGACGCCTCCAGGACGACCCCGGATGGCCAGTTGTCGTCGCCGAGTTCGTTCGTCGTCGTCGTCGTAGTCGTAGTCGTCGTCGTCGTCGTCGTCGTCGTCGTCGTCGTCGTCGTCGTCGTCGTCGTGCGGAGGTGACATGACCATCTCAGCTCATGACATCTCAGAGTCCACAGTTTACGAGGATGTCATAGGCGAACGTGGCTGGACCTCCGTAGGACAGGGCATGAGGTCAGAGTTGCAAGGATATCTCAGGCCAATGTGTCCTGACCACCTCAGCTCAGGGCATCTCGGAATCCAGGGTTCCCCGGATGTCCTGGGCGAAAGTGGCCGAGCCACCATGGAGCGTCTTATCTCCTAGGTCAGAGTTGCGAGGATGTCTGAGGCGAAAGTGGACTGACCACCCCAGCTCAGGGCCTCTCGGAACCCAGAGTTTCGAGGATGCCCCAGGCGAAAGTGGCCGGACCACCAGGGGGCAGATCATCCTCGAGGTGAGAGTTAGGTGAGAGTTGCGAGGATGTCTAATGCGGAAGTGGCCTGACCACCTGAGCTCAGTGCATCTCATCACCCACAGTTGCAGGGCTGTCCCAGGCGAGAAGCAATGACCACAATCAGGCAGGGCATCTCAGAGGTCAGGGTTGCGAAGATGCCTCAGGCAAAGGTGGCCACACCACCTCAGCGCAGGGCATATCGGAAACCCGAGCTGCGAGAATGTCATAGGCGAAAACGACCGGACCACCACGGGGCAGGGCCACACCACCTCCGAAGTGTTTGGATATCTCAGCGGTGCTCGCGTCGTGCACCTTCCTCGCGTGGACCTCGCATTGCCAAGCCCTGCTCTGCACCATCCCTCTTGTGCGCCTTGCTTTGTACGCCCTCACTCTGCGCGAACCCGCTCATTCTATTAGAAGTAGTATCGGCCGCGGCCATCCGACGCCCCAAAGAAACACACTGAGGCTTCTCTCCTCCCCTGTCCCCCTCTTGTTGACTCCATATGTCCTCGTGCATATAGCTTCACAGCAATACCCGTCCCTGAGCTTGGCTAGAACCGAAGCGCGCGCGAAGCGCGCGCATGGTTCTAGTTACATATATATATAGATGTATATGTCTACTCCGATGTGGAGGCCTGTGTATCGACCAAGTCCTCTGAACGGCCAATAGGCCAAGGAACACGGCGAAGGGATCCGGTGTCCGGGGCGTCTACAAGCCCTTGTGCGTTTTGGCCGACCAGGCCGGTTGGTGTACCCTTCGGGCCGCTCACAACGCGCCCTGTGATGACCAAGACGGCGAGAGGTGGGCTCACCAGCGCCCAAGAAAGGTGCCTCAAGAAGCCCAGTGACGTTCCCGAGACATTCCAGGACGGCTGGGTCAGTGCAGCGACGGTCAGACAGTCAATTGATGTTACACTGTGTAGTTCTATGACAATCGAGTTGGTTAACTGGCTTGATGGAGAGATCGTTGGACCAGTGGGTAGACATATTCCCAATCCGAGGCGGCGCTACCGCAGTCAACAGCAGGGCCCATCCCCTCCCGAATCATCCTCCTTTCCACCTGACGGATGGCCTCACATTTCTACTCGCATCTCGCATGATCACAGCCTTGATGTGAACGATGGAGGGATGACGGCTGTGGCTGTACCGAACCTTTTGCAATGGACATTTGGGTCGAGAACCCACCAGGATCCTTTGTATTTGAGCACATTGTGCTCGTGAGCAATCCTTTCACGGTTCAGTCCAGCATAGTTTTCATCAGTGATGTATTTGCGGTCCGCATCGGGGGCTTATTGCAGTTCAGCGCGGCGCTGCGGTATGGCATCGCTAAACGGTGTGGTGGCGATTTCGTGGACCGTGTTGGTTCTGAATTCGTTTCGCAGCAAAGACAGGATCGGAAACTGGAACATGTACATTACTAGTGGCGGGTTATTGTTCAATCCCTTGATTTTTTGAGGGTCAAGGACGACGCTGGGGTGGTGTGGTGTATACTTGTTTCCCCGATGCCCCGGGGAAATAACGAAACATGTATACACCAGGGTCCCGTATACACCAGGATCCGCGTTCCAGTGCAAACTCTAGTGCAGGGCCAGAAGAAGCGTCGGTGTATGGAGTTCGACCCCCTACAGGAAGAAGACGGAACGAAGGACCACGAGCGCAACAACAACAACAACAACAACAACAACAGCAACAACAACAACAACAGCGAAAGCTCTGTGTGGCTCGAGCCCTGGCGTCGAGTGTCTCTCGGCGGATGTTGCAAGGCTCAGCTTTGACCTCGGGTTGCGAGGTCGTCGTTGCATTTGTCACGCACGGGCTTGTTTCTGAACTGGAACGCCTCGTCAGCAGTTGATGTGAAAAGTCCGAGGCTGGAATTTCTACATGGCCACCGCCCGGAAGGCCAATTTTCGGGGACCTCGGCAGGCGGTTGACATGGAAATATTCGGGCCCTCGGAGGCCAAAATATATCCATATCCACCGCCAGGACGTGGGTCCCCAGGCGGTGGATGTGGATAAATCCCCGCCTCGCATAAAGCATGTCTCGTTCCGGCTTATACCATCGGCTCCCTCGACGCCACTTCCCTGTCACCGCACGGCTGCTCCCGTAGGCCAGGGGCATCACCGTGCGCCGGCCCGCCAAGATGCCCAACACCGCGGTTACATGCGCACCACTCTTTGCGTTCTTTCAGTGTCGTTTAACCAGGAGGAGCAGGAGCAGGAGGATGAGGGGGAGGAGGAGGAGGAGGAGGAGGAGGGGGGGAATCGAGGCGGACGAGGGGGAGGGGGAGGAAAGAAGAGGGGTGGTGAGCCGTGGATTCGGAAAGTGGTGCAACACAGGAGGGCTCCTTGACAGACAAGCACTTGACCACGCCGCTATCGCACAAGAGCTGTGGCGGATGTACTTGTGTGGGCCAGGCGTCAGTGGCGAATTCCCGAAGGGCAGTGGGTATCGGTTGTTGGGTCCGCTGGGGGTACGCTTCTTGCAGGACTTTGACCTCTCTCTCGGCAACTGTGCTTGGCACAATGTCTTAATGCTTGTCCCCTCTCTAGGCTCCTCTTTCGTCATCGCGAGCCAGGTCAATTCTGGCACGCTGCCTCCAATCATTACCGGAACACGCGACCACTCTTGGTGCTAGTCGGGCAGGTGGTCATGGGGGGTGAAGAAAGGGGCTCTAAAGGGGGCCTTCTCTTCACCCCCCCATCTAGGTCACCCACCATTGCCACCCGCCCGAGCTAGCTTAAAGCTGGCGTCACCCGCGGAGGAGGGAGGAGGAGGAGAACGAGGAAGGAGCAGGGGTAAGGGGATACTGACTGCCCCTGGATATCCAGACGGTCTCGATTTCTGGCAGCACCCTGGGTAAGGTTAGGGGTCGGGTCGATGGTTTATTCTTGACGGCCCCTTGGGATTGCAGCCTTCTACGTCATTGGATATCGGATGGGAGGTTTGTCAGGAGAAATGAGGGGCGATCGTCCTTCCCTGTGGGGCTCTGAGAGGCAGCGCCGGAGGGGGCTGCATCTGAAAGTTTCGGATTGACTGCGCACGGATCGCAGCCATTTCAGCGTGTACGATGTGGACGATTCTGTCTCTCTCTCTTTTCCTCTCTCTTTTTGTTTCTCCCTCTTCTATGTTTTTCATTTTTGTTGTTGCTCTCTCTCTCTCTCTCTCTTCCTCTCCCCCCCTATGGTTGCTGCCTCCATCCCTCCGCCCTCAGCGGACGCAAGCTGCTCGCGCTCGTCCTGGGCAGTCCTCTGCCCTCCCCCAGGTGACCGCGCCGCTGTGGGAGTCGCCAGTGATGAACGGCTGGACCTGCCCCCGCGACACCCTGCTCGTGGTCGGCAACGAGATCATCGAGGCGCGTGCCTCAGCACAGAGAGGTCGGGGAGGACACGGTCGGATCCTGATCCAGGGCACCCCCTCGGGCGTTCCGCGCATCGCGGCCTGCATTGCAGAGGCGCCCTTTTCCAGGGCGGCTGCGCGAGGGCGCCAAGACCACCGCGCGTCCGGCATCGCGGGGCGGGGTGGATCCTGCCGTTGTGCTTGCTCTTCCGCTGCGTTCGGGCGGGCCTGCGCTGCCACGGCCGCGTCCGCCCCGAAGTCGGGGTTCTCCGAGATGGGTCCAAGGCTGTGCTGTTGGGCAGCAAGTCGCAAAGGCCTCGCGAGCCCTTGCAATTCCGTTCTTGGGGTGCATGAGCGTGCGCTAGCGCCGAGTGAGCGTCGAGTTAGCGTCGACGAGCGTCGATTCAGCATCGATCAGTGTCGCCTAGCATCGCATACGGCTGGACCGAGGTATAAGATCGAGGCCGGCTCGAGGAGGGTCCCCTAATGTTTTTCATGTTTGTTGTTGGAAGTTCTGGTGCATCCTGGGGGAGGGTGCCCTCGACTGTTCTTCGGATTCGGCCAGCGAAGGGTCTCATGTTCTTGAAGGCTGTTCCTCTTTCCTAGGTCCGGCCGTAGCGTCGATTCACAAGAGCCAGCAAGATGGCACGGGAGGCCCCCCATCGGACAGGGCTAGGACGAGGATACGTCCGTTCCAGAGCCTTCCAGCACGCTCTCAGCACGTTCCAGGACGCCTTGGGAGGGCCGCGGCGCCCGAGGCATGCTCCAGAGCTGCCAAATCTTAGAGATTATCGATCTGTCCTCGCTCGAGTGTGTCCTCGTCCTGGCTGCATCTCGAGCTGCCGCCGAGGCGGGATCCGCCCCGCAGTCCGGGGGAAGGGGGCGGTGCGGCACCCGCGCCCTTGCGCTTGCAGCGCCCGCGGGGGCCAGAGCCCGGCCCCGCCCCGCCGCTCCGAGGGCCAGTCCTCCCGGAGGCCTTCCCGGAGGCCCTCCGGGAGGCGCTCCCGGAGGCGCTCCTGGAGGCGCTCCCGGAGGCGCTCGGAGGCCTTCGACCGCCCGCGACTGCAGTGGGGCCGCGCCTCACGAGGCCGGGTGTTCCGTTGTCAGGGTATTTACTTGTTTGAAACATATCCCTATCCCTATGTTTGACATCACCTCACCTGGATGCCGATCTTAAGGATTCCCTCAGTTTCTGAGGGCCTATCCCTAAGATTGCCCTCGCTTTTTGCTCGCCCATCTTAGGGATAGGGACAAGTTCGAGGCTGGTTAGGTATAGCCTGGGCTTCCTCTCGGGACGATCGAAACGGGTACGGAAAGGGTGGGTGCGATACCCGACAGCAGATCCTGTGCATTTTGAACAGGACTCGCTGACCGCGCCGCCGCGGACGTTGCCATCTGATGGGAAAAAACCGCCGCCGGCCCAAGAGCGGCCGCAGTCGACTTTGAACAACACCTGTTGTCGGGCATTCTACCCATTGTGTCCGTACCCATTTCGGGCGTCCAAAACCTCGCTCCGCACGCTGCGCGGGGACACCCCGCGTCCGTGAAAGAGTCTGCTCCGCCCACTGGGCTTCTTGCGAGGGCTTCTTGCGGCCTCGTCAGCACTGTACCCTGGAGCGTCGGCCGCCTCCGAGGGCCTTCGAAGGCCGCGGCGGCGGCGAGCGACCACGACGACGAGGGCCCTTGGCGGCGGCCGACCCGCGCCCCGCCCCCCCGCTTCGGCGGCCGCCGTGAGGCGCCGCTCTGCTGGCGGTCCCGCGCGTACGAGAAGTTCGCGTACCGGCACAGACGAGCGGCTGGAACCGACCCTTCGCCGGAGTGGCCTTCTGGCGCGGGCCCACCGGGGGCCCCTGGTTGCCGAGCGCGAGGCGTCAGTGGCGTCTCGCGCGCTTGTGCTTGGCCACCCCGCGGCCCCCAACAAGCCGCGCGCCAAAGGTCACTCTTACCCAGGGTCACTTTTGCGTGCAGCGGACCAAATCGGGGGCGGCCAAGAGGGGCGTGATGATAGAAGGGTCTGGATGTGATGGCAAGGGCCAGGAATCGCCCCAGACTTCATGACGCCTCTTCGTGTCTCATACGTCCCCAGCCCCCTCCCTGGGCCGCGCACGCCACGCTGGCCATGATTTGCGCCCCCCCTCTTGGACGCCCCCCTCTTGGGCGTCCCAGACCACAGGTCGGCGGCGAAACCCGAACCCTGCCTTCGACGATTCAGGCAACTCGATGGGTGGCGGGGGCGGGTTTCGGAAGTCGCCGAGCGCGCGGCGAAATCCGAACCCTATCCCCGCTTCCCATCGACTCAGGAGGAACTGATGGTTGGTGGGGGGCTGGGGTTAAGTCGGGCCTGTCCCTCTACAGGAGGAATATCCAAAATCAGTCAAAAAATAGTATGGGGACAATTTTTTGACTCTCTTTGACCGTTTTGTTGTATTTCTGGCAATGTAGAATTTTCCGTCCAAAAATCCGCCTGCAGGGGGACATGCCCGACCTGAGGCTAGGGCTCGGGTGTCGCCACCTAGCAGATCTGCTACGCGTTCAGTGCCATTTTCAGTACACGCTCCGCGTGCGGAGCATGTATGAAGCATGCAGGGGATTTAGTATGAAAACAACGATGAGTTCATGCATACATTTGTTCACACATTAATCATGTGTTAGAAACCAGATTAAATAAACATTCATCCCATGTATTAAAAGCTGCCCTGTGGGGGCGTCCCTTCGACGGAGTGGCCCGTGGAGCGCGGCCCGCGGGCCGTGCCCGAGAGGGGGCCGAGGCCGAGCACGCAGGGGCCGCCGTGCACGTCGCGCCGCCTGCCACGATCGGCAGGCCGAGCACCGGAGGTCGCTCGTGCCCAGGGAGGAGGAGGAGGAGGAGGAGGAGGAGGAGGAGGAGGAGGAGGAGGAGGAGGAGGAGGAGGAGGAGGAGGAGGAGGAGGAGGAGGAGGAGGAGGAGGAGGAGGGGGAGGAGGAGGAGGAGGAGGAGGGGGAGGAGGGGGAGGAGAAGGAGGAGGAGGAGGAGGAGGAGGAGGAGGAGGAGGGGGAGGAGAAGGAGGAGGAGGAGGAGGAGGAGGTGTTCCACGTGGCTCGTTTCCATGTTTCACTGCAAGTGGAGCTTGATTCATGCAGCCATCGGCATCGCAGTCCGACTGGGAGCCATGATAAATATTATGGACAACATGTAGATCCATTGTCACGTCACTCCGCAATCACATCATTGACATGGTGGACGGGACTGATGGGTTGGATCCAGCCGCTCAGCATTCTGGCCGACTATCATGCGCGCGACCCGGACTGCTGGGGGGAAGGGAATGTCAAACCGTTGAGGAGCAGCCCGTGACGTTTCGGGAGCAATAGGCAGCAACGCCAGAGCGAGGGCGAGGACCAGTCAGGAGTCCACAGCTTCGCGCCGCGCTGACGCGGAGTGGGCCCAAGAGCGGGCGTTGAAGGTTGAATGCCGCCAGTGGCCTGGAATTGGCCTGTCACGAACGATTAGCGATATCGGCACGGCACGATCATTCCAGGTTGACGGATCCGCGCAGTGTCAGAAGCTGGCGCCAGCGTGACGCCGATGCCACCCCGACACGGATTTGCCGTACGGTGCGGACGGGGAGGGGGAGGCGGATGGGGGAGGATGAGGACCAGCAGCAGCAGGAGCTGGAGCAGGAGGGGGGGAGGCGTTTACAGCAGTAGCAGCACGGAAAAGCTCGCACGCGCTTCCCGACGAGGCGACTGCACGGCGAGACAGGACGCTGTCAGTTTATTGCCAAAGAGAAGACGATGTCACTACGTGATGCGGAGCTTTTGGGGGCGAGGCCTGGCGGGGGAGAAGGGTCAGCTTTCGGCTTGCGATTGGCATCGTGCCGTGCTGGCAGCGCCGTGATCTGGTCATCTCTCAGCGGGCAGTCACGTGACAATCTCTGGCCCCCGCCCCACAGTAGGACGGGGCAACCGCAGGACAGCGGCGTAATAATAACAAGCGACAGGCACGGACCCTGGGAATGGTCTGACAAGAGGAGTGTGCTGCACTTGCAGGAGCTCTCCCGCCTTCTTGCAGCTTTGCTTCACCTTCGCGCCCGTCATGGGCCCAGATCGAACTCGATGGCACGCTGGGAAGGGGCACTCCGAGTCGAGTCGGCCTCGGCCTCCCTTCCTGTGAGAAGCGCCGCCGTGCGGGCGATGCTGAAATCGGGTAGGGGCACGTGCTCGATGGGCGGGATGTGTGGTGTCTGGCTATCTATCGTGTTGTTTGTTTTCTTGCGATCTAAGTCGTGTTAAGCATCGGGCCAGCGGCATAACCAATGATATGCCCCTTTCGCGAGCGCTGCAATGACTCATTGAGCCAGTGGTAAGATCGAACACTGTAGCACACCATGCATGTACGCACGCATGCGTTCAATGATGATGCTACCGACAACGAGGTGCACGTGCTTCGAAGTTGGATGATTATCCAATGTTTTTTTTTTATGCGTTTGCCTACATGTTCTACATGTGCACACATATATATATATATATATATGTATCAAACAGACATAACCCGAGCACTATGCACGCATGATGGTCACACACAGCAGCATTAGCACACAATTATCTGCCGTCATTTCGAATGGCAGATGCAAGCGTGTCAACGTTGTGCACCTGCCAGACTTCCCTTGTCAGTCTAGACAGAGTGGCCCTCGGTCAATCCCGCCACCGTGCATGGGTCTCGCGTGCAAGGCGAGGTGGGAACATGGTCGGGAACACCGCCGCTTCTTCTGGTGTGGGCCTCTCGGGACTCGAGAGCTCCACTTGGGGTCCCGTTGGCATCTCCTGTGAGCCTCCCCAGAGCAGTTTGGCGGCCTCTTGGAGGCTTCTCTCGCGGGCTGGGGGCCTGCCGGGAGCATCCTGGAGGCGTCTTGGGGGCCTCTTCCGGGAAGCCTCCCGGGGCCCGCTTCGTTGCCTCTCGAGGGGGCCTTTCGGGGGGGCTTGCTGGCGGTGTCGGGCGCCATCGTTTGGGGGGGAGAGCCCCCAGCACCTGTTCGAGTTCGCCCTCTCGGGGCCCTCGCGGGCGCCCCGTTGGCCCTTCTCGTTGGGCCGATCATGGGGGCCTCTTCAGCCGTCGCAAGCGCGCTGGCGACCGAGAACACTAGAATACCAAGTCACATTCTGGCGACGGGATCTGTACTCCGATTACACATGCGCTGCCCAAGGCCAGGCCCATCCTGGGCCCAGGAGCGGCGTATACGCCCTCCTGGTTTGGCCAGGGAGGCATATGCACCGCCTGCAGGAAGGCACAGGAGGCTTCCGCAGGTGGCCCCCAAGAGGGCCTCGGGACGGTGGGTTCATTTGATGGACTGCCAGAAGTGCGGAGTCCATCACCACGCGCCCCCAAGCATGCGGCAAGAGCACCACGCGGCGCGACCTCGCGCGGAAGTGGCCGTGAGTTGGGAGGTCTGGGGCCTTCATGAAGTTTCTACCAAATTCAGCGTCGAGGACCTCCCAATGGCACCTGAGGGCATTATACTGAAGCGCCCCGCGACATGGCGTCGGACATCCTCTGCACGGTCTAATGGAGCGCGGTGGTGGGAGTGAAGTCCCCGAGCGCGCGGCAGTGGGAGTGAATCTTCGGTGGTGGGAGTTGCGCGCAGGTGTGTCGATTTCGCCTCTCTGTGCACCAAGCCTTTGCCAGCGCTCCTTGAGGTACATCGTGTGACAGAAATCCTGGGGCATGAGCAGCGCGGAATCACTGGCGAGCCCCCATTCTGCACTGGATTTCTCGCAGCCCAGCGCGTCGGCCCGCCGCCGGCCGATCGGATCGGAGGTCGACAGATTTCCTGCCCTGACGCGTCGATTGGCGAATCGGCCGTTCTCGGTTCGCGAGAGGGCGTCGCGGCCGTCATCTTTGCGGGTCCAGGTCCGTCGGTTTCGGTCTTGGGCCGTTTCCACTGCAGGGATGTTTACTAAAGGGAAGTTTTGTCCACCGCCGACCGGAGGACTTCCTCTGGTCGTCGGCGCCGCACCCCAGCATTCCGGACGAGCTCTTCCGGCCAGGCTACAACGAGCCGGGGATGACCATGGAGAGGAGGCAGCTCGCTCTCTCTCAGCCCCCGGGGGGAGGAGGGGAGGCCGCCTATCAAGCAGTGGCGAAGCGTCGCAGCTCGCCAGTCTTAGGCAAGGGGATAGTCGGACGGGGCCAGGACGAGGATACAGTCGGGGCGCTGAAGAAGGAACCCTGTTCGTTGGGGAGGGGCTCGGTGTTCCTTAAGCGTTTCACAGATTGCCTCAGGTTTTCCTTATGCTTTCGATCGGAAATCGAATTTCAACTTATGGACAATAGGGGGCCTCGTTCCTTATTTAGGGTTCCTTAGGTCAACGCCCCGACTGTACATCAGTGCCTGAGCGTTCTGGAACGCTCTCCGAGCATTCCGGAACGCTCTGAGAAGGCCGCGGCGCCCGAGGACAGCCTTCAGAGCCGCCCGGATCTCAGAGATGTTCGAACTATCCTCGCCCCGTTTGGTCCTCGTCCTGGCGTCTTCGGAGTTAAGGGCTTCTGACCCGGCACTGCACCAATCAAGGCATCCGTCCTCTCGGCACGTCGGGGGGCTCCCTCTCGCCGCTACGCCCAGGTCCGGCGCGGCATCCCTTGGCATCGCTCGATCGGACGCGTGCATTTTTCCTTCGGCGAGGGCCATCGAGGAGCATCCTTGATCATTTGGCGGAAACCCACGCACGAAACCGAAAAAATGGACGTCCGAGCGATGGCGAGATCCTGGCCGGAAGCCTTCCACAGCAACGAGCTGGCTGCGCGGCAGGCGTCGAGCTTCGGGCGGGGCCAGGGCCGGCGCTTCGTCCCGAGCTGGCCCTTGGGCCCTGGAGCCCAGAGCTCTGCACGACCGAAATGGGCACGCAAAGAATGGGTACGATTCCCAACAGCATCGGGTATAGCCAGGACCCCGGGTAAGGGGACCCGGTTAGTGGTAGGGCCCTGGGGCCCCTCAATTGGCCAGATTCACTAAACCAGGTTTGCTGTAGCTGGTGTTTTTCTGGTGACGGCAGTTCCGGTTAGTGGAAATGGGACGGAGGGGCGCCCCCGGTACAAATCACTAAACCAGGTTCCACTAAACCCAGTTCTGCCAACGCCCGACAGCAGTTCCTGTTCATTTTGATCAGGATTCGCTGTCCACGCCGCCGCGGCCTGTGTCCATTCGAGACAGAAGGCCGCCCGCCCAAAGCGGCCGCTGTCGGTTCGGGGCAACATTTGCTGTTGGGCACTGTACCCATTTTTTCCGTACCCATGTCGGGCGTCCAAACAGAATGCCTCGCGTCGCGATGTTTTCAGGACGCCAGGGGGGCCAGGGCAGACGCCCCGAAAGCACGAGGCGAGGAGGTCCGGGCCTCGCTTCGGGCGGGGCTGGGACGAGGATGAAATCCGTTCCAGAGCGATCCGGGACCCTCTCAGAGCATCCGGGCCTCCGAGATCCTCGATCCATCCTCGTCCGATGTTAGCTTTCTTCGCCCTGGCTTCGTCTCAGATCTTCCGCCCGCTCCTCCCCAGCCTCACTCCTGTCGGGCCGAACGAACGGGGGGGATAGGGACAGGAGGGGTTACGAGATCTGCTGCATGCGGCTGGTCTCAGCCCCACCGAGGGGCCCTTTTCCTCGATACATGGCCGCCTCCGGCGCCGGGAGGCGCCAGGAAAATCAGCTACGTGAGCCGATTCCCAAACACCCCTTTGCTATGCCCCCCTTTCGCCCGGCCCCCTTGTCGCTGGACCTCCTCTTGGGTCAACCCGGACCTCGCCCGGGCGCTGCACGCACCGGCGCACCGAGGGGCCCGGCGGCACGAGCTCCTCGCGCAGCAGCCAGGCGCAGGGCCAGCTGACCTCCTCCAGGGAGAGCTCCTCGCGCGGAGGAGGAGGAGGAGGAGGAGGAGGAGGAGGAGGGAGCAGATGGCCGCCTCCTGCCCCGGAGGCTGGAGCAGATGGCGCGGCGCGAGTTCGTCACCGTGGACGGCGTGGAGCCCGTCTTCGACGCCGCGGACGCCATCCGCTGCGGGTGCGGCCCGGGCGGCCGCGCCCCTCGGCGGGAGGGAGAGCGGAGCTGGGCTCACACGGGTCGGCGGCGGGCCCGGGGTCTCTAGGCCTCCTAGATGGGGTCCGAGTAGGTAGATGGGGTCCGAGTAGGTGGGGTCGGAGGATCACGCCGCATCGCCGATGCCTCGGCGATGCGGTCGGTGTGGAGCTCGATTCTCGCCGCGCCGACGTCGCCGACGCATCCCCGACGTCGCCGATGCATCGTCGATGCATCGTCGATGCATCGCTGATGCATCGGCGATTCGGCGCGATTCCCCGACCCCATCTATTCGGACCCCATCTAGGAGGCATCTAGGGTCGGCACGCGCGGTGAAGTCGGGCCCGTCCCCCCCACAGGAGGAGTATCCAAAACCAGTCAACAAAATAATCTGGGGACGATTTCTTTGAATATTTTTGAGTATTTTTTGGAGGCATTTTTGGAGAATGTTTTTTTTCTGCCAAAATCCCCCTGTAGGGGGACAGGCCCGACCTAACACGAACGAAAGGGGGGTACGGAAACCCAGACCCCCTCGGGTCACGAAAAGATCACGACGGGAGCTTGTCCTTTATTTTCTGCCTCTGGGGGCCCTCACCGGGCCTCGGGGCCGTCAAAAAGCGATGCAGCAGGAGAAACCGGTCCTGGGCAATTTGTCAAGACTTCTGGGGATCGACGTTTATGAAAACATCATGACAGGGGTCTGGCAATAATGGTAAGGTGACCGACAGCAGTTCCGACCCATTTGCAAAGAATCCGCTGTAGGTGTCGCCGCGGGAGTTGTCCATTTGAGACAGAAGGCCGCCTGCCAAAGAGCGGTCGCTGTCGGTTTTGGACAACATTTGCCGTTGGGCATCGTACCAATTTTTGTCCGAACCCACTTACGGCGTGCCAACAGCCAAGGGAGAGGGGATTGGCTTTCTTGCCTCGCGAGCCTTCTCCGAAGCCACGGGCGGGCTCTGATAGGTCACGAGGGCTTATTAGTGAGAAGCCCCGTCGCCTTCTCTCACTTCCCTCCTGGGATTGCCTCCCCTCACTTCCCTCCTGGGATTGCCGCCGAACAGAGCAGTCTCATCGGCGGGGCCGATGGCTCGGAAGCCCAGTCAGAGCACTGCAGCAAGGGAATCGCTTTTCCACGTCTCATGAGAGTGCCCTCTCACCCTCGGCGGAGATTGTCGGACGGGGAACCAGTGCGGCTTTGCCAGCGGGCAGCCTACGGAAGTGCAGGTGGACCCAATGAGAGACATCAAGCTGGCGGGCCCCGATTTCTTTGTTGTTGGGATGTTCAGGGTAGCAACAGGTCATGATGATAATACGTTCCAAGGTTTCCACGGGTTTCCAGGCTTTGGCCATCGTTGTTCCGCACCAGCTGCGCCGCTAGATACTCCTGGAAATTCTGGAACGTATCCTGAGCCAATCTTATCATGACATCTTTCTTTCCGTTGGTTTGGCCATGTCGAGTGAGGGCAATCGTATGTCTGGGGAGGTATGTCTCTGTTCGCTCCTAGCGTTGACTGGGTTTGGGTGCCCCAGGCCCCGATATGAATCGGCGCAGCATGCGATGGTCATTGAGCTTGCGCGCACTCGTGGATGCCGAGCGGGGGGGGTCATGACGGGTAGTGGGTTTCTAGCATGACGTATGTCTCGATGAGGGTTGACTTGATGTCGCTAGACTTCCTCGCCCATCCTCTTTCCTCGCCCTCTCGCACGTCATCATTCCTCCTCATCGATCGTTCTCCCCTTCTCCCGCGTGACGGACTCGAACCGCATCTGCACGACCTCTTCCGCGTCATCGTTGGGATCTTTTTTCCCGAACATCAGTGCGATGGAGAGGCATTCGATAAGAGGGTGGCGGGACAACGGACGAAGTTGAGGATGCGATGAGGATGGTACGAGGGACGAGTGCGCATGTAAAGGGAATGCGAAGAAGGATGATGCCGCGAGGACCAGGCATGTATGAGCATTTACGCAGTCGGAAGCCCCCTCGAGAAATAATAGTATCCGTTTGCAGGTCCCGCCCTCGCAGGGCCGATGCTGCGCGCGAGCTTTCACAGCTAGAACTTGAGCACGCTTGGAGCGTGCGCGATGGCTCTAGTGTATGTGTGTACGTACAGATTCATACGTGCGGCAAGGCTTCAAACTGTGCCTGCACATTTTCTAGCGTGTACACTTGCCCACGCGTGCGCGTATGTCTACATGATTGCTCCATGCGTTAATTGCTTTAATGATTTTACGCCAGCGTGCCTCGGATAGTGATTACACCTTGACGCTGTAAACACAACGATCTCTAGCATGTTAATTGGGAACTCTGTGGGCACGCGCTTCCCTCGCGATATTCCGTTGATTACAGTGAGCAGAAGGTGTGCCTACCACATGTCTACACATTCAGTTCAGTGTATACTGGCAGCCGGACTCGTGCATGAAGCGTTTGCATGACGAATACTCACAGGTAGCATGTACACCCCTGAGACACCAGGCCATCGCAAACCAAAGGCCGCGCGAGATGTCCCCCAAATCCCTTTATCCCCCGAAGGTTTAGCTAATGAGCATGCACACGCATTTTTGTTTTACAACCTTTGCGTTGCTCATCCGAGTATTGTGCCCCTTCACCCCAAGTAATCCTGCGTCCGGACTGCGCGTCCTACACTTTGTCGCTGTCCTCTGAAGTTCTTTCCTTAACGCTTTTGTCGGCAATTTGTGCTTGCGTTCGCATGCATAGATGACATCGGCGGCCGAAGCTGGCATGTGGCACTGTGGCATGGCATTTGGCAACTGATCGCTCGCATATGGCATCGGCGGCGCATTGGACGCTCGAGCAAGTTTAACCTGACCAGAATCGTCGTGCGCACAAGGCTTGACCATCGACATGATGTTTCCCGATAAGTCCATGTCCGCTTGCGTTTAGTAATTCCGCCTCTTCCCAGCGCAGCGGTCTGACTGCGTTCAGGCGTGATGTGTTTGTGCTGCACTCGCACACGTGCAACGTCCTGGGCTTCGAGTGGCTCAAGCGGCACCTCGCGCTGCGCGGCGTGAGGACGCCGCCGCGCCCCCGCCCCCGCAGCGGCCGGCGTCCAGGATCTCCTCGGCGCCGCCGTGCTGGGGCCCCTCACGATTGTTGGTCGAGTCCGGTCCGTGGCAAGGCCTGGTGCAGCTGCCGTGCGGTCCCCAGAGGCCCGACACGCTCGCCTCCACAGGCCCCCAAGGGTGTCCGGGGATGTCCCAACACCCAGCGTTGAGGATGCATCTCTCGGGGCTCCGAATTCAGGGTCGGAGCTGGTTTGTCCGTAGCCAGGAACCAGCCAAATCCAGCCTCATCCCGCTGAACCCCATTCACTCAGATTGAGTCTGGTTGATGCATGGGATCCGTATGGGTCAATTTTGTTCGGTGGCCCCTTCAGCGGGCTTCACAGCAAGAATGTTTCTGCCCCGAAGCATCTCAGCAGTTGTCTCCTAACCCAGGGTCGTCCAGGGCAGTCCCAGATCAACTCTTTGGAATTTCAAGTTCACCAAAGCAGTGGTACCATTACCACCAGCTAGGTGGCTGTCACACCCTCTCGAGCTGGTGGCACCTCGTTCCGTGCATGCCTCCAGAAAGTTCCCTGAAGGAGGTTCCACCAGCTCGAGGGGAGGGAGCGGCCCCCCCCTAGCTGGTGGTAGTGGTACGAGCTCGTTTGGGCTCATCCTGCTTTGTATCTTCTTTGCATTCTCCGTGTGGCTGCTTTGCACTCCGATGTGGCTGCTCTGTAGCTTCATCGCTGGCGAGTGGCCCCTCCATGTGGCTTCTTTGCAGTCTGATGCCTCTCGCGGAGATTCCCCAGCAATTTTGTTCCCCCCAACCCGGGGGCAGCCCAGGGGGCGGTCCCGACACCCGTCGCCGCGCCCCAGGCGGCGCGGCCCCCGGCGCCGCTCGCCCCGCCGTCTCGGCGCCGAGCTCGCCTTTGGACGGCCCCGCGGGCCTGCCGAGGCCGGGGGGCGGCGGCCTCCCATGGGGCTGTCTGTGCGCATCGCCCCGCCTGCCGAGCCCCCAAGCCGTGCCGTCGGTCCGAGGCGCCGTGTCTCGAGGGGGAGCTGACTTCCTGGCCGCCGGGATGCTCACGTCGGTGGGGCTGCTCTGGAAAGAGGGGCTCTGAGGTACGTCGGTGGGCTGCTCGAGGGGAGCTGAAGGAATCCTGCAGATCCGCCGGCTCTCTGAGATTCTCGATTTATCCTCATCCGATGTTATCCTCGTCCTGGCTTCGTCTTGGGGGGGGTTCTAGCCCCTCCACTCCCCATCTGCACTATACGTTTTTCGCCTGGCACCACCGTTGGGGTGAAAGGCCAAGAACGCGGGACCCGAACAAACCTGGACGCTTAAGTTGTTGCTTCGCAAGATGCGAGACAGATTGAAGCAGAGGCCCGGCACCCGGCACCCGCCGTCAGCGGAATCGGCCAAGCCGCCGTCCTTCAGGACAACATTTCCGCCCAGGGCAGAATTCAAACGATCGAAATGTCGTCCCCGCGGGTAGGTCGAAGCCCTCGCTCGCGTTGCCTCCCGGGGAGCAGTGGGGGGCGGGGGGACGGTGAGGTTCGCTGGCTCCGCGCTCGGTCGGCTCAAATCGCCCCCCCCCTCCCACCCCTTGGGATTTCCAGGAGCGCTGCTCGAGGTGCATCGGTCCGGAAGCGTCCGTGGGGTGGGAGGGTCCGATTTGCGAGTTTGCAGGGTCGGCGACCCCCCCCCAGCAGGCGGAACACAGCTTAGGATGTTTGTGAGTAGATGTGCTGCTGGGCACCCCGATCATCCAACACACGCACTGATGCTGGGTGCGCAGCGGCCCCGAGGAGCGCCGCGCGCGCTCGCTCAGGCATCGGATCGCATCTGCTCGGTGGTGGGCGCTGTGCGGTCATGCTGCTTGGGTAGCGAGGTGCTGTGAGATGTTTGTGCTTTTTCTGCTCTGTTCTGACGCGCGCCTCCAAGGGGAGGGGGGGGTGCGAGTAGTGCTAGTGTGTCCTCCTGCGTCCCAGCTCCACTTACTGATCATCGCCTTGCCAGCATTATGCTTGCCAGTATGGATGGAGAGTTCTTCGCCGAGAACTTCCATGGTACGGTGCTGGGTCAATTCTGCGCAAGCAAGCGTGGGCCCATCTCTTGTTCGGCCTGGCCGCACCCTGACCGCCCCGTCGGCTTGGAAGCGGTGGTGGGGTGAACAGATTGCTGTGATGCTATGCATGATGCCAGGGGTCTTTTCACCGCTACCCACGAGGACCCACCTCGTCACGATGCCGACTGTGCACAACCCTTCGCACATCGACGCGAGCATCATGCCGCTGCGCCCACCAGTCGGGAACGAGCGCGGGGTGGCGGCCTCAGAACTGCGGAGGTGGCGTCGTGGGGAGGTATGACAAGAGGGCGTTTGCGAAGGCACGAATTCTAGACGCTTCGCGTAACCTCACTCCCAGGGCGACGCCCCGCTGTCAGTCGTTGGCTGCCGTTTTGGATCGGCTTAATGAGGTTCATGTTGTTCCTCGCATGTGCATTCCGGCGTTGGCTTTTGGCCCTCTGGCAATTATCTTGTTTGTTGCCCCAAGCTTGTTTCGACCCGCTCTCTGGAATCGTCCTTGGAGCCGCAGATCAAAAAAAGTAACCTCACTCCCAATAGCTCGTTCTTGCGCATCTAGTGGTTAATTCAGGCTGCTGCTACTATGCAAATTCCTGACGGCGCCTGGCACCCCTGCGCGCTCGCGAACAAAACAAGTAACCTCACTTCCCATCCAGAGACGAGGCCCAGGCGAGTTGCTCTGATCAGGGATGTGGAGGCCTCCAAGAGGCCTCTGGCCATTCTGCTCGCCCTCCTCCTCCTCCTCCTCCTCCTCCTCCTCCTCCTCCTCCCTCCTCCTCCGCTTGTTCCTCCTTCTCCCTCCTCCCATGTCCCCTTCCCCCCCCTCTCCCCCTCGTCCTCCACCGATTCCTCCTCCATCCTTCCCCTCTTGGGGGTACGACGGCTCCCCGAACCCGTTACGCCTCTGCAGGTGCCTCTCGGAGTCTCTTCGGATGCATCTTGAAAATTTCTCGGGTGCTTCTTAGTGGTTCTGGGGGCCGCTTGGAGCGTCTTGGGTGCCTCGGGGGCTTTTTGGGGCCTGTTGGGGGTTTCTCCGGAGCCTCTTGGAGGCGTCTCGGGGGCCTCTCTTGGGGCCTTCTGGGCGCCTCGTGGAGCCCTTTTTTGGGGCACCCTCGGGAGCCTCGGGGGCCATCCTTGGGGCCATCTCGGATGAGATCGATCAAAGAAGGGGGGGGGGCCCACATTGCCCCCCCCTTCCGGAGAGGCCAAACTGAACTTGGCCCAACACCCATGCTAAGTACACCACGCTCCAAGGCCAAGGCCATCTCTAACGCTCCAACGACATGCGACAGGCCCCCTCCCTCTCCCAGACCCAGGGGGAGGGGGGAGGGGGAGGGCTCAAGACCCCCCCCCCGCCTGCAAGCCTGAAGTCCGGCCTGCCCTTCCAACATGAGGAATACAAATTCAAAATTCGTGCAAAACAGTGTGGGACGATTGTTCGAATATTATTTTACTAGTACGTTGGAGTATTGTCTGACCATCTTTAACTGTTCCTTCACAATTCACCTTTAGGAGGACATGCCCGACCTAATACAAGCCGTCTTGCTCACTCCCGCCCGCCCTCCCAACACAGACGTAGCGCACCCGGGCTTCAGCGTGTTCAGGGGTCGTCTTTGGATGGGCATCGATTGGAAACCAAAGCAGACCCCATGTGCGCGACGCTGGGGCGAGGTGCGCCACGCGTGCCAGGCGTGCCACGCGCGCCAGGCAACTCCGTGGCCCAAGTGTGCCAGGCACGCCTGGTGCGCCAGATGCGCAACTTGCTTAACGAGCGCCATGCGCACCGCACGCTCCAGCCGCATCAGGTGTGCCACGTTCGGGGCACGCGCAGAGTCTGCCATGTGCGCCCGCGCACGTGACATCACACATCGGGAAGCATGCTGGACCTAACCATCCTTGTGTTAAACCCACTGCGCCATCGCGGCGGGGTGGCCATCATGGTGTCTGGCGGGCATGCGCACACGGGGGAGTATGCCAGCACCCCCGCCGCCCCTGTCAAAGCAAGTGGACCGTGGACGCGGGGTGGCCATGCGTCATCCAGACTTAGCCGCGACGTGCATGTTGTATTGTTTTGCTGATCGGGAGGGTGTCCTGCGCACAGCGGGCAATATGCTGGCACCCCCGCTGCCTCTGTCAAACAGCTATACAAAGTGCTCGCGCCCCCCATGACCCAAGATCTTGCCCCAAAGTGGACGTCACATGGTGTCCTGGCTCTTCTGGGTCCTGGTTGGCTGCCAGTTGCCTGGGGCAGGGGGTGTCCATTCATAGGAGCCAGTGATCAAGCTATCCTCCTAGATAGCAAGCCGTCTAGCGCACTCCCACCCGTCCGCCCCCAACACACAAGCAACACCCGAGTGTCAGCAGATCGCCCAGGAGGGCCACACATGCCATGCGCGCCACGGATTCCAGGTGCACCAGCCCAAGCGTGCCAGGCGCACCAGGGGCGGCACGTGCTCCACGTGCGCCAACTGGGCCACGGGCTCCAGCCGCGTGAGGTGCGCCAGCCATGGGGAGCCATTAGGGGCCCGAGGTGCCTGGGGCCTGGGCCCCAATGAGTTCAGGATCTTGAGTGCCCCTTCAACGAGTTGCCGACCATTCTGTGAGAAGGGCGGCTTCTCCAGGGAGCGCATAGCACCAGCACCGATGGACACACCGTGACATCTTGAGGAGTCGTGGAACAGAGCGCCCAGTGCGTGCTCCAGATTTGGAGCCAAGATGTATTTGATATCGTTTTTTTGACAGGGACGGTTGGTTTGCGCGCAGCATGCTATATGCCGGCACCCCCGCCGTCCTTGTCACCAACCGATGCGAAGTGGTCGCGGGGCGCCCGCCCATGCTCCAGATTTGAAGGCAAAGTGAATTTTTGTGTATTGTTTTGTACATGGGATGGTGGGGGGGGCGCGTTGGTCTTGGTTGGCTGCCGGTCTCGCCATGCGGCCGACCCCCCAGCAGCAGGAGCAAGTGTTTGCGGCGATCGATCTTGGAAGTTATCTGGTGGGTCAGGAGCTTCCTGGAAGCATTTGAGGGGCTCGTGTGATGCCTCTCAGGGGCCTCTTGGAGGGCTCTTGGGTGCATCTGGGGGGCTGTCTGGCCATTCTTGGGGGCCGCCTCGGTGGCGTCGGGTGGGCTCTTCAGGTCATCTTGGGGAGCAAGGATCGACATGTCAGTTGGTGTCTTCCTTCTTTGCCCCTCTCAGGGCCCTCTTGGGGTTTTCTTGGGCCGCCTTGGGGGCCCCTGCGGCCGTCTCGGGGCCCTCTTAGGCGGCCTCATTGACCGTCTTGGGACGATCTTTGGAACCCTTTGGGCCGTCTGTGACGGTGTCAGGACGGAGAGGGCGAGTATGCTAAACATGTACGTTTCTCACGGAAATGGAACAATGTCCGCGTCTGGGGGCCCTCTCGGCGGTCCTCCAGGAGCACTCTTGGGCCGTCCTGGGCGCCTCGTCGTCCGTCTCGCAGCCATTGAGGTTCGTCGCGGGGCTACATTCTGCGATCTTGACGCTTTCTGGGGCTGCTTTTGCGCCCTGTTTCGAACCTCATGCGCCGTCTCTTGAGGTCTTGGAGACGGTGCGGAGACCCCGGGGATGCGTTTGGGAGCTCGCCCCCATCTTCTCCCACCTCAGACGGCATTTTGCACTTCAGGGGGGGCGGAGAGGAGGAGGAGGAGGAGGAGGAGGAGGAGGAGGAGGAGGAGGAGGAGGAGGAGGGAATGATGAGAACGCGGAGGAGGAGAAGGAGGAGGAGGAGGAGGAGGAGGAGGAGGAGGAGAAGAAGGGGGAGGGGGACAGCCAAACGTTTCACACGCCTCTTCACCCCGGGCAAGCGGGGGCCGGCGGATACACAGGGAACGCTGGGAGCCCCTCCAGGAAGGAGGAGAAAGGGGGTTGCAGTAGGAAACGCCCCGAACCAGTCATGCCCCAAAAGGCTGGTGGGGTTTCGTACTGTTTGCTAACAGGGACGGAGGGGGGGTTGCCAATGGTGCCCGCGTGGGTCCTGGTTGACTGCTAGTCGCCTGGGGGAGGGGATGCCTTCTACTCATATGGAACAGTGATAAGCCCTTCCCCGAAGGGGATGCAGAGGGGTTGAAAGAGGAACCGCTCTAAACCACTCACGCCTAGAGCGTTGGTGGGATTGCTAGCAATACAATTTCCGTCTGGAGCCTCGTATTCCTGCACTTCGAGGCTTGCCGCTTCGTCTGAACGTTGCGGTAGGTGGTGGGTGGATTGTGGGGCGGTGGTTGGTGGTGCAGAGGGATGGGCGGGTGGCGTGAATCATCGACTGGTTCTGCGGTGGGTGATGGGGTGGGCGGTTGGGTGTGGGTTGGTGGATGGATGAGTGCTGAACTGGGTGGTGGGGCTGTTGCGTTAGTCAGGTTCCCAGTGGGAACGGCACACGTTGCTCGGCTGACTCCCAGTCCACCTTCTCAGCAGAGAAGCATCTCTGGCGGCTCAGCGCAGACGGTGGCCGCCCGCCGATGGACATTCATTGTGGGTCAGCGCCAGGGGCGCCATCCACGTGCGCCTTGTGCGTTCTGCGCGCGCATTACGCCACCTGCGTCAGTTCACGTGACAGCACGCCATCGGACAAGACGCCGTCACCCCCGACCGTCCTCGTCGAAAGCCGGTGCGAAGTGGCGGCGTGATGTTGCATACGCATGTATGTATGTATATGTATACACATTTAAGCATAGATACGTGATGTGAATATTCACGCCGTGCTCATAATGAATGGAAATGGATGTACACCGCAGAGGAGAAAGCTGGACCGCATCTCCACCATTCCTGGCAAAACCTAGATTCAACATGATGGTTGGACACCCGCGCATGGATCAGTATTTTGCAAAGCGTGCATTTGACAATATTTTGACCTGGGTGGTGGTGTGGTGTGTACTGGGCTGCTTGGCGGTGTGGGCGGTAGGGTGGGTTGGTGGTGCTGGTGGATGGTTGGCGGATTGGTCTGCTGCGGGGTGGGTGGCAGCATGTGTTGTGCGATAGGTGATGGTCTTGAGTTCAGGGGTGGGTTGTGTGGTGATGTGTGGGCTGGGTGGCGGCGTGGATGGTGGCTTGGGTTGGGGCGTGGATGTTAGATTGGCGTGTGGCGTGGGTGGTGCTTCGGGTGGTGCGATGAGTTTCGGTAGGTGGTGGAGTGTGTCGTGTGTGGCCGGGCGGCCGGGCCGGTGAGTGGTGCGGTGTGTAGTTACGTGCCAAGTCTCGTAGGATCAGCGGTTCTCTGATCTTTTCTCCGCGATGCGGCATACGGGTAGACCGAATTGGCGGGGAGGCCCATCGGCACAACCAGGGGCGCCGAAGCTGAAGCGTGACACCGCCCTCCAGGGATCACCCAACTTGAGCGTGTCCACATCTGGTGGTGGCGGTTCTGGGTTTTCTCCCTGCTCGCCGACGTCTCACGTGGCGTGCATCGGAGCCACCGGCCCCGAGGGGCCCACCATCGCGGGGAATCCTCCCTGTCTTCGACATTCTCGAGGTCGAATTCTGATGTTACCGTGGTCCGAAATCCCGCTGATCTGGTTGATTTCCGCTCAGTCCAGCTTGCTCCCGCTGAATCCAGTTTGCTCCTGCTTGATCCGCGGCCTCATCCGGCGCAGCAGCCCCCTAATGGGGCTCAATCTTCCTTAATACTTCCGGCGAAGACCTCCCAGTAGTTGCCTCCGAAAGGCAACGGCGTTCTGCCCAGTGGGTGCAGGGAGGTTCGGGCCGGGCGAAAGGGGGGGATTGGGAAAGGGGGGGTTACGAAATTTGCTGCATGCAGCTGGTTTCGGCCTCACCGAGGGGCCCATTCCTCGATACATGCCGCCTCCGGCGCCGGGAGGCGCCGGGAAAATCAGCTACGTGAGCTGATTCTCAAACCCCCCCTTTGCTATCCCCCCCTTTCGCCCGACCCGAGAGGTGAGGCCACCTCAATCTCAGAGCCTCTGGCCGCCAGGGATCTTCGCTGTCCTCCCATGCACGGCTGCTTCAGTTTCGGCTCAGTTGCACAGCCCGGTGCCAGTGTTGGACGAGTGTGAGGAGGAAGACGACCTGGACGACGGCGGTCTGCGATTTTGGCGTCGACGACGGCGGCACCGACGACGAGGGTGACCCTGAGGTCGGGATGACACGAGAACGGAGGGCGTGAGGGAGAAGGATGCGATTAAAAATGGAAGGAACCGCGTCCGTTTCCGTCCAGCGAAGGCATCTATACATCACCACCGTGCTAGGCCAGGGCCATCCTGGGCCCCAGGATGGTGTATAGACCCTCCTGGCCTCGGCCAGGATGGCGTATACACCATCCCAGGGCCCAGGATGGCCCTGGCCTGGCACGGTGGTGGTGTATAGATGCTTTCTGCGTATTCCGGCTGACGAGTGGGCTGCCGCATCTACCACCTGAATTCGACAATTCTTTCAGACGTCGGCGCGAGACCGCTTCGGAGCGCATCTGCCAGCGCGCGCGTGCTTGCTGTGTCGGCTATGCTCCGACGGGCGCCTCGGCGCTGAGACGGGTTTCCCCTTTCTGGGCAGTGACATCTGCGATGCACGACATGCTCACGAGAACTACTCCCTAGTGCCATTCACCACGTCAAGGTCTTCTACGGTATGATCCATGCGAGCGGGGCAAACAATCGGCGTCGCCTCAACATACTCATACTAGATGTGCGTCGCCCCCCAGGGGCGACGCGCGCACCGAGAAATCTTATAGCATGTGCGTCCTGGCAGGCGCTTTCTGGCCGCACCGCTCGGGAAACGATACACTACAAGATGGGTACACTAGGTGTTCGGGTCGGACGCGCGCCTCCGAGGAGGACATATGGTGTTAGTATGTCTCTGTGCGTCCCGGAAAAAAAAAAGCGTTCGCTGGCGCCGACATTCGCGCGTAGGCTTCCAGCGAGGGGTCGCGCGCAAGGCCGCTTCCTCTCCGAGGCAGCGTGCCGCGCGTTAGTCGGCCGGCGGGCCCCGCGCGGGCCGCAGCGTGGGGTCGCTCCGTCGCCTCGCGCAAGACTCGCTTCATTTCGTCGCCCACCTGTCGGCGGCGAGCGGGGGTGGGGTGGGGGGTTTCTGCGAAGGGCTTAGAGGCGACCCGCCTTGCTCCTCCTCCTCCTCCTCCTCCTCCTCCACCTCCTCCACATCCTCCTCCCCCTCCTCCTCCTCCCCCTCCTCCTCCCCCTCCTCCTCCCCTCCTCCTCCTCCTCCTCCTCCTCCTCCTGCCCCTCCTCCTCCTCCTCTCTCCTCCTCCTCCTCCCTCCTCCTCCTCCTCCTCCTCCTCCTCCTCCTCCTCCTCCTCCTCCTCCTCCTCCTCTCCCTCCTCCTCTCCTCCTCCTCCTCCTCTTCCTCCTCCTCCTCCTCCTCCTCCTCTCTCCTCCTCCTCCTCGTCCTCCTCCCCTCCTCCTCCCCCTCCTCCCCCTCATCCTCCCCCTCCTCCTCCTCCTCCTCCTCCCCCTTCTCCTACTTCTCCTCATCCTCGCCCTCCCCTCCTCGGGTCGCCTGCTACGTCCCGGGGAAACCGTCAGGGGGGGGGGGGGGGAAGTGAGAAGGGGCTGGCCTTCTCAGAAGGCTCGGAAGTCCCCAAGCTTTCAGAGAAGCTTTCTAAGCCTCTGCCGAAAGACTCAGACAATCTCTCAGAAGGCGCGGGGGCTCCTGAGAAGTTCCGCCGCCTTCTGAGAAGGCCTTCTTCTTCTCATTTTCCCCCCCTCGTTCGCCGCCAAATTTGAACTTGCATCCGCCGCCAGCGTCGATTTGAGTCAACGCCCGCATCCATCTGAGGTGATGCTGGTCGCGCCCCCCGTGGCCGACAGCCCGATGGTGGGCCTGTTCGCGGAGAACCGATGGGACATCCTGCGCTGCCAGGGGCTCGGCGCCTCCCGCAGGAGGAGGAGGAGAAGGAGGAGGGGGTGATGCTGATAATGATGATGTTGATGATGCTGATGATGATGATGATGATGATGATGATGATGATGATGATGATGATGATGATGATGATGATGACTGTGATGATGATAATGATGATGACACTGATGCTGATGCTGATGCTGATGCTGATGCTGATGCTGATGATGCTGCTGATGATGCTGCTGATGATGATGCTGCTGACGATAATGATGCTGATGATTATGATGAGGAGGATGCTGGTGCTACTGATGATGATGATGATGATGATGCTGCTGCTGATGATGTTGACCATGATGATGACGCTGTTGTTGATGCTAATGATGATGCTTATGCGGATGATGTCGATGCTTAAACTGCTAATGAGGCTGATGATGACGCTAATGGCGACGATCATGCTGTTATTGATGGCGATGCTGATGCAAATGATCATGCTGCTGATGATGGTGGTGATGATGACGAGTATGATTATGCTGATGCTGCTGATGAAGATGCTGCTGCCGATGATGATGCTGCCGATGATGATGCTGCTGCCGATGATGATGATGATGCTGATGATGATGACGATACTGGTGTTGATGAGGATACTGCTGCTGCTGATGCTGATGACGATGCTGATGATGATGATGCCGCTGATGATGTTGACAATGATGATGACGCTGCTGTTGATGCTAATGATGATGATGATGATGCTTATGCTGATGATTCTGATGATGCTACTGATGATGCTGATGATGATGCTGATGGTGAGGCTCGTGTTGTTAATGATTGTGATGATGATGCAAACGATTATGCTGCTGATGCTGGTGGTGATGATGACGATGATAATGATGCTGATGCTGATGCTGATGATGATGATGCTGATGATTAGGATGTTTATGATGGTGCTGCTGCTGATGATGGTCATGCTGATTATGTTCATGATGCTGATGTCGCTGATGCTGATGATACTGATAATGATGTTGAGGAGGAGGAGGAGGAGGAGGAGGAGGAGGAGGAGGAGTAAGAGGCGGAGGTTGAGGAGGAGGAGGAGGGGGAGGAGGACAAGCTAGGTGCGCTCGCGTCATATCTGACGTCCTACCCCTCCCTCCCATCCCTTACCATGGCGCTGATTTTCTCTATCCGCGGACGCGTGTCGTAGCGGACCTGTGGCTCCGCGCGCGCGTGCGTAGTGGGTGGTGGTGCGCGTGCGTGCGTGCGTGCGTGTGTGCGTGCGTGCGTGCGTGCGTGCGTGCGTGCGTGCGTGCGTGCGTGCGTGCGTGCGTGCGTGCGTGCGTGGTGGTGGTGGTGGTGGTGGTGGTGGTGGTGGTGGTGGTGGTGGTGGTGGTGGTGGTGGTGGTGCGTGTGTGCGTGTGTGCGCGTGTGCTGTGGCATGACACGGGAAATGACGCCAGCGCTGCAGCGGGAGCACGAGTCGAAACGAGCGGAAGCGCGGAAATGTGGCCAGCGCTGCAGCGGGAGCACGATTCAGAACGAAAACCCAACTCCCGGGAATCCTGTGTGTAAAAAAGCAGGACTCGGGGGGGGGGGCGAACATTCCCAGCACGTCATCAGGGGAAGAGGGAGAGTAGTATTCATATTGAGTAATTGTGGAGGGGGAGGAGGAGGAGGAGAAGGAGGAGGAGGAGGAGGACGACGAGGAGAAGGAGGAGGAGGAGGAGGAGGAGCTCCCTTACGCCCCTCGCGACGACTGGAACACAGCGGGTCAGGGCGATTCATCGGGGCTGGGGGCGGTCAGGGGCAGCTGCATATCCCCGCCTCGGGGGGCCCAAACCCGAGTTCCACCTGACCGCAGTTGCCCCAGATGATTTGGGCGTCCAACCCTCCCAGATCATTGGAGTTGGGAGCAGTCAGGGGCAACTACAGATACACGCCTCGCGGGCCCAAACTGGAGTGAGTTATCCCAGACCGCAGTTGCCCCAGATAATTCGGGCGTCCAATCCTCCCAGATCATAGGGGCTTCGGGCAGTCAGGGGGTAACTACAAGTACGCGCCTCGGGGGCCCAAACCGGCGTTGCCCCGGACCGCAGTTATCCTGGACAATTCGTGCCTCCGGTCGAGGCGCGGTGAGAGGGTGAGGGAGGGAGAAGGGTATAAGGTTTAGTCAGGCCTGTCCTTCTACAGGGGTAATATTCAAAAATAGTCCAAACATCGTATGGGGACGTTATTTTCTATTATGTTTGACTACTTTTGGGTATTGTTTGGGTCTTCTTAATTTTTCGCCCAAAATCCCCCTGAAGGGGGACCTGCCCGACCTGAGAAAAAAGGGAGAGGGGGAGGTTCCCTGATATCCTGGCGTCTCGTTTCTTCCCGCTGGGCGCTTCCGCCCATTCTCGGACCCCTGGATGCCGTCACAGATCAATATCCGACTCGGGAAATGCAGCAGGAAGATGGGGTCCAGTGCGCCCTGTGTCATTTTCTTGTATGATTTTGCAATTTTTTCTCGTCGTCGCCTCTCGGGTTGGAGATGTGACATGGCACATGTGGCGAGGGGAGGAATGATGAGCGGGGAGAATGGCGAATGGCTCCGCCTTGAGCCTTGAGTTCCCGTCTGTACTCATCCCTTGCCCCGCCTCTTTTCTCCTCGCTGCGGTCCGGCGCCTCGGGCACACTTTATGTTACGAACCTCTCTCCCTCGTGCCCCCCCCACCTACCCCCTCTCGACGATCTCTCCGAGCCGTGAGGCTCTTGGCAACATCACGGGAGGAGCCCCAGACACAGAGGAGGAACAGGTAACGATAACGCTGCCCTTCTCTCGGAGGCCTTCGTTGCCACGGCCGGATTTGCCTCCAAACTCTGGTCAGATCGCACCCCGGGCGCCGTCCGGGGAGTAGCGGTATCGGTACCTCTTGGTTTCCCTACAGACCCCACCTTCCTGCGGCATTTTTCGAGCCGGATCGATCCGTGACGGTTCCAGGGCCCGAAGCCGCGCGAAACCGGCCGGCGTGACAAGATTGCAATGCTTTGGGGCGCGAGTGAATGGGGGGCGATAGTTGGGGGGGGAGAGCGGTGCCCTTTTCGGACCCTCAAGGCCCCCTCTGGGGCCCTAATAAAGGGCTCCTTTGGGGGCCCTAAGTGGCGCCTTCTCTGCAGCCCTCGCTGCCCCCCCTCGATGATTGCCACCCTGATTCGCGCCCGGCCTGGATCTCAGGGACAGTGCAAGTTCTCACCGCCTGGGGTGGTCTGGTAGGTGGGCGAGTTCAGCCCGGGGGCCCTCGGGGCGCCGTGCCCGCCACTGGTGCCCTGAGAATGCAGCCCGCGGAGGAAGCGTTCGGTCGTCCCTGTGGCGCCCACTACAGCGTCGAGTAGCGCCCCATAGCGGGGGCAGAGCGGACGCAACGCGTCTCCTTCACGTGTCGTCATTCGGGCGCCACTTACTGGTCGCTAGTCGGGCGCCATCTATTCGGTGCTACTGGTGTTACTGGTCGCTATTCGGGCGCCATTACGTGGGCGCTGCCCAGGGTCCGACGCCGTTTTTTTGTTCCTTTCAAATACGGCCTTCCCCTGGCCAGTTTTCATCCATCGCAGCCTTCTCACGATCCCAGGGCCCAGCTAGAGCCTCCAGATGCCGAAAATTGCGAAGCACTTCATTTTTTGTTTATGCTCATAGGAATAATAGCAATAATAATACGTTGTAACGGGAGGTCGGCTTATCCCAATGCCAGATTTTGTGGGGTTTGGGATTGGACGCAAAATTTCGGGCCCAACTCGGGGATGGCGCCCATATTCGATAAAGGGTGCGTCCATGTAGCTTTTCGCTGGAGTATCCCTGAGCTTCCCATCCTTCTCCGAGTGGTGATCTTCGATGCGTTGGATTTGGGGGTCCTTGGGGAGCGCCAGGATCTCAGGGTCCTTGGAATCCGCGGCAGTGCCCTCTGCAGCGGGTACCCTGCGGACGGCCTTTGCGTCTTGGGGCTCCGATGGGGGGCCGCGTGTGAGCCATCCTGGGGCGGTCTTGGGGGCTTCTTCGACCGTCTTGGAGCGTCGTGGGCTCGAAAAGACTGGAACGCTGGCATCCTTCGAACACCTGTAGACGCTCATCGATGTTTGCCTCGAGCTCCCTGGAGCCCTCTTGGGGCGTCTTCGTCCGCCCCGGACTTTTTGGGGGGGCGGTTGAGTTTAGCTGGAACAACTCAGGAGCATGTTGAGGCCAGTTGGGACTACCTGGGGAGCTGTTTGCGCGCAGCCCGAAGCCTCACAACTCGCTGGCGTCCACGAGGTGGGTGAGGACTACAGTCGAACCGCAACACAAGGACAAGTTTCTTTCCAAGGGAGCCCTGGTTTCCCTGTCTCTTCAGCCGTTCCTTCGCCTCTTCGGCCCGTCCTGCGCGGCTCAACGAGCTCAACTTGGGCGCCCACGGCGTCTTTCCCATGCGTCCTTCTGCTCGTGCTGGCAGGAGGACCTTTTTGGTCCCAGGATCTGGCTGTGTTTTCGGGGGCCTCTCCTCCGATCTGTGCCAGGAAGCCTGCACACCCGCGGCCCAAGCGGGCCGCGGGGGCGGCCTTACCTTACCCCCCGCGCGCGCACGAGATCTCTCTGCGCCTGCCCACGCTGCCGCCGCGAGACCCCGGGGGAGGAACGGACATTCACCGCACGGTCTCGCCGTGTTCCTATTTACCGCTTCGCCGATCGGCGCGGGCCCACGCCCCCCTTCCCCTCACCCTTTAGTGGGCCCTGGAAACGACAGGGCCGTTTTTTCACCGGTTCCGTTTTGCCGTTTTTGTTGCCGGTTCCAACGCCGTTTTTGTCACCGGTTCCGTCGCCGTTCGACCGGTTCCGGCTCCGGTTCCAATCCTGGAGCCGTTTTTGTTGTCCGTTTCCGGTCGCCGTTTTTTTGCCGCTTGCATTTTCAAGGGGCATTTGTTTGGGAACGGTGAAAAAACGGCCCTGCCGTTTCCGGGGCCCACCAAGCCCTCATCCCCATCAGTAGACCATGGCGACTGGTCAGCGCCCCTATGATTACTCGGAGGTTGACAGACCTCCTACCTTGACACGTCGATTAAGGAATTGGCCGTTTTCGGTCCGCGAGAGGGCGTCGCGGCCGTCATTTTTGCGGGTCCAGGCCCGTCGGTTTCGGTCCCAGGCCGTTTTCACTCAGGGGAGGTTGACTAAACGGAGGTTTGTCCACCGCCGAATTTCACCCGTCTGCTTGCGCGACTGGTAGAAGAAGGTCAACTGAGCACCGGCCCAGGCCCAGACCCCCCTCTCCCCACCCTTCGGCCAAACGTCGGATCCCAGTTTGAATGCACATGAGAAACCTACCACCTCGACGAACGCTCCGAATCGTGATGCTCAGAAGATGCTGCCTATAAGCATCAGCTCTCCGAGCTCCGCGCGGATCTCTCGGATCTTCGCTGGGGCCCCCCGCGGGCTCCGCCGTGTGCTGCCCCCGCGACATACACGGAGCAGGGCGAAGGAGGGAGACGGAGGAGGGAGGAGGATCGAGGAAGAAGGGGAGGAGGATCGAGGAGGATCGAGGAGGAGGATCGAGGAGGATCGAGAGAGGATTGAGAGAGGATCGAGAGAGGATCGAGAGAGGAGGGGGTCGGAGGAGTTTCTCCTGCCGCCAGCCGCCCCTCGCCGCCACGGCCGGCCTCGCCCCGAGCCCCCGGCCCGCGCACGGAGCCCCGGGAGCCGGCGGCGGGACGCCAGCACACAGTCGGGGCCCTGAGGGGGGAGCCCGTTCCGTTGGGGAGTGGCTCGGGATTCCTTGATTCAAGGGCTCCCACGAGGGCGCGAAGTTATTCGCGCTTCGCGCTTCGCGGTCCTCGTTCCTTCTCCCCCTCCTCCTCGTCCTCCTTTTCTCCCTTTGGGGGGGTGGCGCGAGAGCGCGAAGTTATTCGCACTTCGCGCTTCGCACTTCGCACTTCGTTGGGGAGTGGCTCGGGATTCTTTGATTGTTCTGACAGTCGGGGCGCTGAAAAAGGAACCCTTTTCGTTGGGGAGGGGCTCGGTGTTCCTTGATTGTTCTGCAGCTTGCCTGAAGTTTTCATGAGGTGTTCCATGGGGGATCGAAGTGTAACTTATGGGAAAAAGGGGCCTCGTTCCTTGTTTAGGGTTCCTTCGGTCAACGCCCCGACTGTACCGCCGCGAAGGAGCCCGGTGGCAGGAGGGCGAGGCAAGCGACAGAGCGGGGCCAGGGGAGGGCGGGCCAGGGGAGCGCACGGCTGCCCCGCAGCCCGCCCCCCGCGCGGCCTCCGCGGGGCGAGCCCCCCGCGGCCCCGTCGACGGGGCGCTCCTGCCGCTCCCGCCGGCGAGCGCGCCGGGCCGCGCGCCGCTCGGCCTCGCGGCCGGAGGGCGCGCTCCGCCGGCAGCACTGGCAACGCGGCGGCCCGCGGCGGCAGCGCGGGCGCCCCGCCGCCGCGCCGGCCGGCTCGCGCGCCGCGGCGAGCACGGCGCGCCTCGAGCAGGCGGCCCCCCCGGGGGCCGCTCGCGCCGCCACGCGCGGGCGCCAGGCTCAGGCGCCGCCCGCGAGCCGCGCACTCGTCGGGGCCGCCTGCCCAGCGCGGGGGCGCGCAGAAGGCGCGGCGCCTGCGGCTCTGGCCGCGCCCGAGCTGGCAGCACCGCGGCGGCTGCGACGGCCGCCGCGTCCCCCTCCCGCGGCGCCTGCCTGCGGCGGTGGCTCGGCTCGGCGATGCCCAGCGTCGCCGCGCCATGGGCCCGCCTAGGCTGGCGCCGTGTGGCTGGCCTTCAAAGCGGCCGGCTCCACGGCGGCCGCCGCGCGCTGCACCTCCGCGGGCGCCTCCAGCTGCCGCGCGCGATGCTGAAGAAATGCTGGTGGCGGGAGCCCGGCTTTGGCTCCAGCGCCAGACAGTGCGTTCGCCGCGTCGTTCCCGGCCCACTCCTCCTCCAAGATGCCCCGTTTGGCAGCCCCCGCCCAGGTCAAATGGGCTTTCGCCCACCAGGCCCGCAGCAGCCCAGTGCGGTGGCGGAGCGCCACAGTCTCGAGTAGAGCATGCGTGTGCCAGTTAAGCCTCTGTTTCAGTCTGGTGTGGGCTGCACGCGGAGCGCACAAGATTTACTCAGCGCGCGCTGCCCTGGCTTGTGAGAGCCGCACTTGCGAGGTTCTCGGAGCCGCGATATTGCTATAGTTGCGCCCCCGAAAAAAATGCAGGGGATGCCAACGTATGCACCCGCGCCAGCCCTGGCCCGGCGAAGAAGGCGAGTGCGCTGGTCCGCTTGGCTGGGACCGCTGCAGGCCAGCCACCGCCCCCGCCGCCCCCCTGGCCATCCAGTCGAGAGCTGGGAAGCTGTTCGGGGCAGTGGCACCGCTGGGCGAATGCTAGGCACGGCAGCGGGCCTGTTTCTTTCGTTTTGGGTTCTTTTGGGTTCAGTGCTTCGGTCTGGCTCTATGTCTCTGGTCGAAGCTGATGAGGGGCGGCGGGGTAGCGATCGAGCCGTCAGTCTGTGTCCCAACAGCGCTTGCATTGAAAGGGTTTCGCGGGACTGGTGCAGGGTACCTCCGCACTGGAGTTGTGAGAGGGAGATCCGTCGGTGGAAATCCATGAAGGAATGAATGTGCCAACAGTCGATTGCCTCTTTCGTGTCGGTCCTGAGCGCGGTTCCGACAGGTCCTAGAAACCACAAGATGTTCTAAGTCATTCTTCCTGGGTGCGTGGCTGCAGTGTGGTTCCGCGGTGCGGATTGTCGTTGCGTTACGCTGCGCTGCGCTGCGCTGCGCTGCGCTGCGCTGCGCTACGCTGCGTTGCGTTGCGTTGCTGCTTTCGTCGTTCCACTCGCGACCCGGCCTGCGACGCACCCGCGACCCGCCCGCGCCCCACCCGCGACCCACCTGTGACCCACCCGCGACCGGCCCGCGACCCACTCGCGCCCGCACCCTCAGCTTTACCCGCACCAGCGGCGTGCTGCATTCCCGAACCGGTCATTTGGAACCGTCTATTTGTAGTCCCTGGTTCGGCCTGTCTGTGTGTCGAGCCGGATGAAAAGGTGGAGTAGGGAAAGGGGGGTACAACATCTGCTGCATGCAGCTGGTTACGGCCCCGCCGCTGGGCCCACACCTTGATACATGGGCGCCTCCCGGCGCCAAGATCGGGGGAGCGTAAGACCCGGGTTTGCCAGGACTCGGGTTCGCCATCGTTTTTTGACGACCGCGCCTCGGATTTTGACGAGGAGGAGTTTCGTGGGATGTCTGCAGCGGGAGGCCTCGTCAAAATGCAGGCTCGGCCTCGTCATTTTTTTGACGACCTCGTCGGGGATTTCCGGGTCCCCCGTACCCGGGTCTTACGTCTCCCCGACAAGATGCGCCAACAAAGCCAGTGGCGTGAGTTGATTCCCAAGTGCCCTGCCCAGTGCCATCCTGCCCTTGCCGTCCAGCTGTCGTCCTGTGGTCGCCCCCCACGTGGTTCGACCAGACGTAGGGAGCGACCTTTCGCCGGAGTGACCTTTGGTGCGGGCACATATGGGTCCCCAGATGTCAGAGCGTAAACTACCTACCCCGCTTTCGCTTCCAGGCAACACCAAGCCATACCACGCGCCTCCTCGTCAAGCGGCCTGACCATTACAGGCTGCAATTTGGCATCGTTTGGTATCTCTTGGAAGCGAGGGTGGTCAAAAGCGAGGTAGGTTTGTTTTCCCCCTAAGATGGCCGAAGAAGAATCAGTAGGAGCTGGTTGCGCGCCCAGGTTTGGTCTCCGTGCGGCCCCCAAAAGGCCGCGCACCAAACGTCACTCTTACCCAGGGTCACTCTTGCGTGCAGCCGAGTGGTGGCCCCACTGTCAAGAGCCCTTGGGGGGGCCGCGCCGCCCTGCGTTGTGGGGTCCTGCGCGGTGGCCCAGCAGGTCTCGCGGGGACCCCAGCTCGGCTGCTGTCTAGGCCCGCGTGAAGCTGTTCGGGGCCCACGTTCGAAACCCCAAACGGCCTAAACATACACTGGTGTTGACGGTCCTCGCGGATTTCTTGGACCTGCGTTGGGCCGCCCTGGCGGCTCTTCTGGCGCCGCCCCTGGCGCGCTCCGTGCGCCTGGGAGCGGGGTCAGGCGAGGATCCACGACATCCGCGCGGACCTCCGGAAATGTATGTTGATGCCGTCTTTTGTTCCTCTGAACGTGCCGCTGGGCCGCGAAGTTCCTGCTCGCAGGTGTTGAGTCTAGGGCGTCGACAGCGGGTGAAGTGCACGAACTGGAGGATGAGGATCGCCCAGCGAAGAGTAGCGGGGAATTGAGCGCATATGCTATTTTCCCGAGGCCCCGAGCCGGATGACTGGATGAGCAGAGATCCGGACTACAAGGCAGCTGATGTTTTCGCTTGTTGCCGCTGCTACTTCTGCACATCCCACGCAGGCGACGGAAGCGAACTGTCTAGAGACGCACATTGAAATGCGCATAGATACCCCAATCAGACCTTCGGCCCTGAGGGCGAGCATCATTGCAGCCCTGTGTGGGGACTCAGAGCCAAGTAGCTGCTGGGAAGCACGGGTCTCACTGCTGCTACTTCTGCTGTTGTTGTTCGTTGGATGCGTTACGACCAGGGCTCGACCTAATCGGTGGTTGCAGGTTTCGAGAGCCGTTTGGGTTTCGTTTTCGTTTTGCAGCAACGGCGGAGCGAAGACACGTGCCATCGGCGCGGCATCATAATTTGTTGTATCCGTAGGCAGTAAGACGGTTGACGTTGGTACCGATGCGGTGTGGAGACCTGGTTACTCGAGTCATTAAGCAGAGTCCGATCCCGAACCCGAGTAACACAATGAATTCGTGACCTAATGGATGTCTCTGGCTTTTAGGGATATCCCTGAACATATGGATGGTTTCGTCTGGTACATATGCAAACCGACTCCCTGTCCCGAATGTTTAGATGTTTTTGCTTGCTCCTTGTAATTGAGGGTTCCAAGCGATGTGATGACCACAGATTGCGTTTCGGGGCGCGGGTCGTTCTCCGAGGACGTCTCTGGTGAAAGGGGCCCCCGAGGTCCCAGAGACCGTGCGGTGACGGAGCGCGCGTTGGGGTCTCTTAGGATCCCGAGGTTATCGCTCTGTCCGTCGCCAGTTTGGGACCCCCGAGCTCTTGCTTCGCAGGGAGCCGCGCTAGGACAAACGTACCTTGCCTGGGACACCAGCAGCGGCACCGCGCGGCGGTGGCTGTCGAGAGCGTCTGCCGTTTCTCTGTTGCCGTTTCTATTCTTGCCTCGTCTTTACACCTTGTTGTTGCTGCGCTCGCGGATGCCACACTGCGCTTCCACGACCAGCGATCCGTCTGGTCGGGCTCCCCGATCCCGCGCGTCGAGGCTTCATCCGCTGTCGCCGCAGGCAAGTTGCATGGGGTTGGGCATGGGACGGCGGCACACAGCGCGCCGCTTCCGTCATGAGTTATGCCGCGTCCATGTTCGAACCCGCCTCCAGTTTGATACATGGCTCCTACAGGCGGATGCATGTAATATGAATTCTTTACGCTTCGCGTATCCCCACCAGCCCATCTCACAGCAGCAAGTCTTGCGAAGCATGCCGACAGTCGTGTTTTTTCAGGCGTGTGTCCGCTTGGCCCCGCATATCTCCCCTGTTCCTCCTTCCTCCCGCCTCCTTGTACATCCTCCTTGTGGGGGGAGCGGGAGAAGGACGAGGCGGAGGAGGAGGGAGAGAAAGCGCTCCTCGTGGTTTGAGTCGTTTGGGGTTTCTCGTCCTGGTGTGAGTCGTTCGGGCCCTTCTTCCTGGTGTGAGTCGTTCGGGCTCTTCGTGGTGTGAGTCGTTCGGGCTCTTCGTCCTGGTGTGAGTCGTTCGGGCTTCTCGTGGTGTGAGTTGTTCGGGCCCCTCATCCTGGTGTGAGTCGTTCGGGCCCCTCCTCCTGGTGTGACTCGTTCGGGCTCCTCGTGGTGTGAGTCGTTCGGGGCCCGCGTCGTGGTGTGAGTCGTTCGGGCTCCTCGTGGTGTGAGTCGTTCGGGCGCCTCGTCCTGGTGTGAGTCGTTCGGGCCCCTCCTTGTGGTGTGAGTCGTTCGGGCTCTTCGTGGTGTGAGTCGTTCGGGCCCCTCGTCCTGGTGTGAGTCGTTCGGGCTCCTCGTGGGGCCTCTTGGGGGGGCCTCTTGGGGCCTCTTGGGGCCTCTTGGGGGCCTCTTGGGGGCCTCTCCTCTTGGGGCCTCTTGGGGCCTCTTGGGGGCCTCTTGGGGGCCTCTTGGGGCCTCTTGGGGGCCTCTTGGGGGCCTCTTGGAGGCCTCTTGGGAGCCTCCTGGGGGCCTCTTGGGGCCATCTTGGGGCCTCCTGCGACCTCCTCAGAAGCGCAAATGAGCGCTGCCCCCTGAGAAGGACAAAATGAGGCCAAAAGGAAGGAAGATGAGCGCGGCCCCCTCAGGAGGCCAAAATGGGGCCAAAACCGTAGTAAAATCAATGATTTTGGCTTCAAAGAAGAGGAGAGGGGCCTATCTCCGCCCCCCCCGTCGGGGCCAGAATCCTCGTGAGGGTCGTCGTTTTTTAGCCCTCCCAGGAGTCGAAATTTACCCCCCTGACGACCCGCGGGGCCCCCTCTCCAGGCCCAGGGGGAGGGGGTAGGGGGAGAGGGCCTCCCCGAAGGGGAAGAAGGGGGGTTGAGGACAGAGAGAGCTCGCTAAACCACTCACGCCCAAAAGGCTGGTGGGATTCAACCTGCAGGCTCTCATATGGCACATTCGAGAGAAGATGTTCTCGCGTCAGAACCGTGGTGGAGGAGGAGGAGGAGGAGGAGGAGGAGGAGGAGGAGGGGGAGGGAGGAGGGAGGAGGAGGAGGGGGAGGGAGGAGGAGTGAGAAAGAGGAGGAGGGAGGAGGATATACCTTTGATGATGATGAGCTGCTGGGGAGGTGGCCACGGCGGGGCAGGGCCCCCCTGGAAGGGACAGCGGGTGACCTGCACTGGGCACGCACGACCCCCTGGCTAAGAGATTGTTTTTGTTCGGGGCCTGACGATAACCCGGGTCTATCGGGCTAGCCTCCCCTCCCCCCCAGGATAACCTGACCTACAGATGGCGTTTGCTGAACGGCCCTGGGCGTCTACTGAGCAGCCTTGCCGTGCTTATTTCTTCCTTTGGGAGCGTTTGCTCAACGACTTCGCGTGACATGCAATGGGCACGCACGACCCCCCTGGAGTCGGTTTTGTTTCAGGGTCCGGCGATACATCGATCGGGTTATCAGTCTTGCCCCCCCTCCCCCCCCAAGGATAACCTAACCTTGCCGGTTGTGCAGGTCTGGGGTGGGGGGGGGCGCGGGCATATGCAGGGCTGCCTACAGCGCGAAGGTCAGGTCATCGGCCGGCCCCCTCCTCCCCCCGCCCCGGATAACCCGGGTCATCGCCGATTCAAAAAACACGGTCTCCTGATAAGGGGAAGAGCAGCAAGTGGATTGCCATCAACGTCCTCGCTCTGGACAACGAGACCGTCGTCGTGGCCGAGCACGATGAGGCGTTGATCAAGGCGTTGGAGGAGTGCCGCGGGGGTTCGGATTGCGACACCGGGGCCCCCATTGTTTCTCTGACAAGAGTCTGCCCCTGGCTTGTACGAATTTGCAGCAACGGCGGATTTCTCGATTTCGCTTCGGTTTGCTCGGTACCATCTGGGTGGGCCCAACAGGCGATGTCGTTATCGCAGATGCCTGCGGCGACTCACCGCCGCCTCCTGCCTTCCGGAATCGCCCATGTGGCCGAGCGTTGTGGCAAGAGCTCTGCCAAGCTATCTGACCATGTGTTCCACCGGCCGTGGTGGAAACCCTTCGGGGAACACTTGTGGAAGAATTGCGGGGAAGATCAGAGGAGAAGGAGGAGGAGAAGCTTGGGAGCTTCTGGGGGCACTCTAGGCATCTTGGGGGCCTCCTTGGGCCTACTGGGGACATCTTGGGGGCTTCTCGGGGTCCTCTTTGGCCGTCTTAGGGCATGCCTGGCCCGGCTGACGGCGCCCGAAGCCGTCTTGGGGGCCTCTCTTGGCAGACTTCGGGCCCTCCTGTGGTGCTCCAGGGCCGTCTTGGAGGTCATCTTGGGCGTCTCGGAGGCCTCTTGGGCCATCTTGGGGCCCTCTTGGGGCCGTCTTGGGGGCCTGTTGGGCCGTTCTTGGGCAATCTTGGAGGCCTCTTGGGCGAACTTGGGGCTATATTTCGTGCCTTCTGGGCTGTCTCAACGATTTTGGCCTCTTCGGGCCTTCCTGGAGGCCCTCGGGGGCCTCTTGGGCCGTCTTGAATGCCTATTATTAAGGGCCTGTTGCGGACTTGTTGGGCCGTCGTAGGCCATCTTGCGGCCATCTTGGGGGGGCATGGGTGCATCGTGGGGCCATGTTGGGGTTTCTTTGGGCCATCTTGGCCTTCGTGGAGGCATCTTGGAGGCCATCTTGAGAAGTCTTGGCCGTCGGAGAGGCCATCTGGAGCCGGATTGATTGCGGACGTTGACGTTGTTTCCGGTCCCTTCTGGGTAGCCGGCTCAATGGATTGAAGCCCCAGGGGGGATTTCTCTTGAAACAGAACCAAACCCATGTGGCACACAAGGCACCCATGTGGCAAGTCAACAGGGGGCGGCGGATCGAAGACGACTATGTTGAATCACCGCCGCTCCCTGGCTTTCGGAATCGCCCATGTGGCCGAGCGTTGTGGCAAGAGCTCTGCCAAGCTATCTGACCATGTGTTCCACTGGCCGTGGTGGAAACCCTTCGGGGAACACTTGTGGAAGAATTGCGGGGAAGATCAGGAGGAGAAGGAGGAGGAGAAGGAGGAGGAGAAGGAGGAGGAGAAGGAGGAGGAGGACGATGAGGAGAAGGAGGAGGAGGAAGAGGAGGAGGAGGGGTAAGAGAACATGGAGGAGGAGGAGGAGGAGGGGGTATCTTCAGTGCCTCTGGGGGCACTCTTGGGGCCTCCTTGGAGCTTCCTGGGAGCCTCTTGGAGGCGTCCTCTGGGCCTCCTGGGGGCCTGTGGGGGCTTCTCGGGGCCTGTTTGGCCGTCTTAGGGTATTCCTAGTCCGTTTGACGCTGTCGGAGGCAGTCTTGGGGGCCTCTCTGGGCCGACTTGGGGCCCTCTTGGGGTGGTCAAGGCCGTCTTAGAGGACATCTTGGGCGTCTCGGAGGCCTTTTGAGCCATCTTGGGGCCCTCGTGGGGCCCTCTTGGGGCTATTTTCGGCCGTCCTCTGACCATGGCCTGTTGGGCGATCTTGGGGCGATCTTTGGGGGCCCTTGGGCCGTCTCAAGCCGTCGGAAGGCCAAATGCAAACATTCGTCAACACCCTAAAGAAAATCAATGAATTTGGCCTCTTCTGGTGTTCCTGGAGGCCTTCGTTGAGGCCCTATTGGAGGACTTTTGGGCCGTCGTGGAGACCTCTCGGGGTCCTTGTGGGCAATGTTGGGTCATCTTGGAGCCATCTTGGAACGTCTTGGTGGGCTCCTGGCCCGAATGGCGCCTTCGGGAGCCGTTTTGGTGGCCTCTCTGGGTCGACTTGGGGCCTCTCGGGGTGCTCCAGGGCTGACTTGGAGGCCACCTTGGGCGTCTCGGATGCCTCTTGGGCCGTCTTGGGGCCCTCTTGGGGCCATCCTGGGGCCTTCTTGGGCCGTTCTGGGGACATCTTGGAGGCCTCTTGGGCGATCTTGGGGCGATCTTTGGGGGCTCGTGGGCTGTCTCAAGCCGTCGGAATGCCAAAAAGAAGCCAATGCCCAAATCCTTTTACAATATTTTGACCATCAATAGTTTGTGCTGCGTCGGGCCTTCTGAAGGCTCAGGGCAACATGCGAAGGACCTCAGAACATGCCCACTCCGTGCCCAGCGGCACGGTGGCGGATATCCCGATACGGTGGACAGTATCGAGGTCGCAACGAGAACTCGATATTGCAAGTAATGGAAGTTCTAGCTGCGGTCGTTGTAGGTCTGTCCAGTTTTGCTTGGGGACCTTGGCATACTTGCAGTCGCCGCCAGATGCGGGCTCACGGGCCTGCTTGCTTGCTGGCCGGTCAACCAGTCTCCAGGCTCCAGTCGCGTCACATGGGTGCAGGCAAGGGAGCACAGGGGCCCGCGCGCCCACGAGTTTCAGGGGGGTCAGCGTCATGCAGGTTCGCTTTGGTTCAAGTTTGAACGCCGCTGGTGATCCTGAATCTTGTACAGGGTGCCATGAATGTTAGACGATGGGTTCAGTTTATATTGCTCGTTTTGAATTTTAGATTGTGGTAGAAAATTATATATCGCCTCCGTCCCCTCACTCCTCCTACTCCTCCTTTGCCTCCCTCAAGTTCTCTTCCTCGTTGTTCCGTGTTGTATCCCCTCCATCCTTGTCAAGTTTCCTCTTCTATTGCCTCCCTCTGCTCCTCGATCTCCCTCTCCTCCTCGACCTCCTCCTGCTCCTCACTACCCCCCTTTCCCTCTTCTTTTTCTCCTCCGCCTCTTCCTCCTCCCCCTCCGATCCCCCGTCGGTCCAGTGGGAGCCAAACAAGCTGCGCGTGGTCGAGCGTTGCGATCGTCCTGTTGGTGTGCTGACGGCAGGTTGGATCGCCTGCATTAGGGCGTCGCCCATGCCAGCCCCCCTCCGCCAGAGATCGCGGCACTGGAGCGCGAGCCCGAGGATACAGTGGAGGCCCATGCCAAGAAACACCCTGCTTGCCTCCAGGGTGCCCTGGGTTTCTTGCGTTTCGATGGTTTTGCGATGGAGAGCGCGACGTTCCCACACTAAAAATGAACGAACGTCCTGGGGTCTCAGGATTGGGTTTCTTGTGGCAGGTTTCTTGTGGACCAGCCTCCGCTGCATGATAGGTTAAAACACTCCGCGCGCCTTCCCCTGGACCTCCCTTCGCGCGCCTGGAGCGCCCATGGGCGCGGCGGCCTCAGGGACGGGGCCTGGATGCCCCCCGACGGAGTCGACGGGCGGATAGGGCAGCTGCAGTTCCGAGCCCGGACCGGGCAGGCCGAGCAGGTCGGCCGGGGGGCGCAGGCGCCGCCCCGCCCCCGCCCGCGGAGGGGCGGGCGGCCCGGCGGCGGCCAGGGGGGCCGCGGAGCTCCGGGCGGCGGGGCCCCGCCGCGGAGAGCGGCGGGGGCGAGCGCTCTCCGCGGCGGGGGCCCCGCCGCGGAGAGCGGCGCCCACCCGCCGCGAGGGCCCGACGGCCACTGCACTGAGGCCGCAGGGCGTCGGGGCACTTGGTCAACGGCGAGCGGCGGCAGGCGCCGCCCTCAAGCGCGCCTGGCGCACGCGCCGCGGTCGTGGGCTCGGCTTCGGGCTGGGTGGCTTGCGTCGTCTGGGACGGTGCCGCTTGACGCGACCGGGCCTGCCAGGACTGCCGCGACGAGCTCGAGCTCACCCTGGGCCTGGCGGAGGCGTTCGAGTTGGGCGCCGGGGACCGGGGAGCGGGAAGAGCACCTGTGCTGGATGCTGGACGTGGCGGCTGGGCCCCTTGCCCATGGCAGGGATGCGGACGCCGCCGCCATCTTGCCGGCAGTTCACGCCCGCCCCGCGACGCTGCGCGAGCAGCTGTGGGACCACGCCCAAATGGCGACGGACCCGCTCGCCGTGATCCCCCGTGGAGAAAAAAGCCCACGCCTACGACGCTGTCCACCCGCACCGCGACAAAGACTACCGTCGCTTGATGGATGACCTTTCGGCGGCCCCTGCAGCCTTACATGCTGCAGATTCACCGAGTAGACGCGACGGGCCACCTTCGCTTCGACCACCCGTGGGGTGCCGCACCAGGAGCCGACAGAGCCGACAACCGCATCGTCTTGCTGCTGATCCTGCAGCTCCACGCGCTTATGCTGGCGGCGCCTTCCACGAGCGACGCGCGCGACCTAGGGCGACGACTCAAGCAGGGGAACCGCCTGGCGCGCCAGCTCGTGAGTCACGGCGGAGGGGGCATACATGATCCCGGCTCCCAGTCGGCGGCCCCCCCCCCCCCAGATGGGATGGGTCCCAGGACTCGGCGGGCCCCCCTCCACCCACCCCCCAGATGGGATGGGGGGAGAGGACGTCGCCGCCATTGTCGTCGCCGCCGTCGTCGCCGCCGTCGTCGTCGTCGTCGTCGCCGCCGTTGTCGTCGTCGTCGCCGTCAAGTGTAGCAGATTTGCGTCATGCCTGTGGCGGCGATGCGTATGCCGATGCGGATGCCGATGCCGAGTCTGAAGACTCTGACGACGACGTCGACGACTACGACGAAGACGACGAAGACGACGAAGACGACGAAGACGAAAACGACGACGACGGCCCCCACCACCCCACATCCACAGGCCACAGGCCACACCACACCCACGGGGGGGGGGAGACCCAGGCCCATCGGGGGGGGCTGGGGCCCAATACCATCAGCATGGTAGGGGTGGGGGCGCCCAGGACCTGGATCATATACATATATACACACACCAGGTGCGGCGACCCCCGGCTGAGCCCAGGCAGCTGGCCGAGCGGAGCGGTGGCGCCAAGGCCCCTCCCAGCGCCCGCGGTGCCCCCTCGCCCGCCGCTCTCTGGTTGCCTCCCGCCTCCAGCTGGGACAGAGGCAGGGAGCTTTTTTGGGGCCATGGCGAGCCGCTGGCGGGGGCCGGCGTGGCACCGCCAGGGCCCCCCTCTGCCGGCCTGCGCGTGTGGGGCCCCTTCGGGCCCGCGGCCCGACGTGGGCGCCCTCGGCGAGGCCCATGCGCGCACATGGGCAGCGGAGCGGCGGGATCCCCAGCCCCGGGGCGGGTGGCGAAGGGCCCGCCCGAGGGCCTGAACTCCGAATCCCTCGTTCATCGTCCCCCCGACTAAAACAAACCGGAGCCCCCTCCAAATGCGGCCTGATGTTCCGGACCACCCCCCGCTTCGACGGGGCGCCTCATGAAGCCGGACCCCCTCAGCTCCAGTCCGAAGAGAGCGCCCACATGAACCGCCCCCCCCCAGTTACAAAAAAGGCGCCTGAAAAAACCCGACCCGGGGCAAGATTAATGAGGGATTTGGGGTAGTCACGGGGCTACGGCACTTGGGGTGGCGCCCACCAGGGGATTGCGGAGGCCCCCTCCCCATTTCGCGCTCGGCTGACGCGAGGGAGGGGGCGCTGAGGAGGGAGACGCCCCCCCGTGCGCTATGCCGAGCCAGCTCGCCTTCCGACAACGAGGCGCCCCAGAAGGCCCTCCCCCGCCAAAATCTTGCACCCGGAATCGCCCGGGAGGCCGAAAGACGAGACCCCCCCGACCGCGCGACTTGGGAAACGGGGCCGTGGCGGCGAGGCGAGGGGTGATGGGGAGTGGTGCGAGACCCTGGAGTGGTCCAGCAACTGAGGGGGGCGAGCGCGATGGGGTGGGTGTTCGGTGGAGGGTTTCTCCGAAGTGCTCAGGCGGCCCGTCCTTCTCCTCCTCCGCTCCTCCTCTTCCTCCTCCTCCGCCACCATCAGTTCCTCCTCCTCCTCCTCCTCCTCCTCCTCCTCCTCCTCCATGTCATCCTCCCCCTCCCCCTCCCCCTCCTCCTCCTCCTCCTCCTCCTCCTCCTCCTCCTCCTCCTCCTCCTCCTTCTCCTCCTCTCCTCCTCCTCCTTCCTCCTCCTCCTCCTCCTCCTCCTCCTCCTCCTCCTCCTCCTAGGGTCGCCTGCGTCCCAGGGGGCAACCGTGCAGTGTTCGGGAGATCCTCGCATTCGGGAAATTGGCCTTCGGGGCGGGTTTTCATGCCGATTGGAGGCCGCATTGCGTACCAGAGGCGCACCCAGGGGTTACTGCCTGGGGCGTCAGTGGAGGTGCCACCGGGCTGGACAGCCATCTGGGCGGTGGGGATCGCGTGGCCGCCGAGCCATAAACAGCATTCTCATGCTCGTCCGCTATTCCTCTCCTCCTCAGTTCAAGTATGGACGCATTGGCTGAACCCCAACTATGGAACGATCCGGCGATCGAAAGCCGCCGATCGTTCAAGGTGGAACGATCCACGTGGTGTCAGAAAGCAGCGCCAGGGTCGTCACGACACGAACCTGCCGTAGGCGCATCCGACGGGCATGGATGAGCGCACCCAGCCAGGCAGTTTCGGCGAACTGGACACACTAGACGTGTGTCGGGTGCTCGATGGGCTCTGCCGCGTTGAAGATTGGTGCTGTTTCTGACGACTGTAATGAATGTGCTGTGGACCCTTGCCTTGGCAAGGGTCTCGTCTATATGTATCCCATCGCTCAATGGGCACAGGGACACACACAGCAACAGACACAAATAACAGGATGTCCAATATTTACCCATCTTTTCTTCTGGACCCATCTTTTCTTCTGGATGTTCGTCTTCCCCCCACTTCGCATATTTACCTACATTTTCCTGGGAGTCGACGGTTCATTGTGTCCGCGTGTTGTTTCCTCTCCTGAATCGCTGATGCCGCCCTCGGTTTTTTCTCTCGTTTCGTTTGTTTCCCCTTGGCTGTCACCCATCCCCCGCTTTGCGCTGGCCGAGGAGAGGCACTTCAAGTGCGTGGCGATCCCGTTCAAGAACGTCATCGAGTTCGGGGGCGGCATCCACTGCGGAACTCAGGACCTGCTCAGGAGTGGGAGGAAGAGGACGGCGAGGATTCGTGATTTTTTTCGACATCGCCCATGCCATCCTCATGCTCCCTGTCGCGGGTCCCCCGCCGCTGTTTCCGGGTGCCCCTCGACGGCCAGGTTTCCCTCCTCCCTGTTCGTTGCCCTCCCGCTTCCTCTCCCCTCCCCGTACCTCTTTTCCTCCTCCTCTCTCCCCCATACCCGTCCCGTCTCCCTCGCGGCAAGCCCAGTGTTTACGTCGATCGATCCTTCTGGGCATGGCATTCAGGATTGTTTTGGCTGGCGCGACATGCAAAGCCACCGTGCCTGCCTTCCACCACCCTCTCCCTGTCCCCCTCATCATTCGCTTCCCATTCCCCCTGGACGTCCAGGGAGGTCCCCAGGTTCCAGAGGCTTCCAGAGGCCCTGTGTGGGTCTTGCAGCAGGGACAAGCCGTTCAACAACGCCCCCCCGAGCGTCCAACGTCCTCGACCCTTGATCTCCTACGCGCGCGCCAGATCTGGGAAAGGAGAAGCAACACCACCACCTACCACCGGGGGGGGCACCTCCAGCGAGGAGGCCCAAGATGCCTCCCCGACCTGGGAGTAGGGGGCGTCTCGAGCGAGATGGGGGGGAACCACACCACCCAACAAACAATTCGGGTCCGGTTCGAACGACCCGAAAATGTGCAAACCGTCTAGGACTCCTTTCAAAAACGTCGTTCTCGAGGTCTTCGGGCCCACTCCGAAGAAACCAAACATGGGCAAACCGTAGAACTTCGGATCAAAAACGGTTTCTCGGTGGTTCCGGGCCTCGTCCGAAGGAGCCGCCGATGGGCAGACCGCGCAGGACTTCCTTCGCAAGAAATGGTTTCCCGGGTGAGTCATTGTCAACGGGAACGCGCCCCGCGCGGGATCGGGGTTCGCCCGGGGGCGCGGCTGCTCTCGCCTGTAAAGGGGGTATGCATTGCCCAGAAAATAACTCGCCTTGGCTCCTCTCGCTGGTGGTCCCTTGGTGGTGGTCACGTCGCGTTTCCTCGGTCCTGCCAGACTGCAGGCCCTCGCTTCCCCTGGAGCCCGGTGCTTGCCGTGCGCCAGGACGTGCGGCGCCGGGGCAAGTGCGAGGACTACTTCCCGACGCTCCGGTCGTCGGACATGACCTCGGACGAGCAGCTGAGGTCGTTCGAGTGACGGGGCTTCCATGAGGGGCCTGTTTTCCACCTCCGCCACCATCAGTTGGAGGGGGAGGGGGTCCTCCTCCTCCTCCTCCTCCTCCTCCTCCTCCTCCTCCTCCTCCTCCTCCTCCTCCTCCTCCTCCCCTCCAACTCGTGGTGGTGGTGGTGGTGGTGGAAGGCGGGCCCGCCATTCCGTGCTCCTTGCAGCCGTGCGCGTGCTGCTCGCGCGCCGGCGGCTCGCGCGCCCCTCCCGGCCGACAGGCGGCGGCCCTCCTGCCGGCGCCGGCGGCCTCTTTGTTTTTTCTGTGCTGCGGTCGCGGGGGCGTCGTGCTCGCCCCGCGCGTCCTCGGGGGCCGGTCCGTGCTGCGGGCGTTCCGTTGGGAGGCCCTGGGCTCCCAGACTCTGGTCGGGCCCGTCCCTCTACAGGAGGAAGGTTCAAAGATAATGGAACAAATAGTCTGGGGACGACTATCTCTAGTTCTTTTCTGCGTATGTTTTGACTTGTTCCAAATGTTTTCGCTCAAAATCCGCCGGTAGGGGGACATGCCCGACCTTCTCCTAGACGCAGTCGCTCGAGGCCGTCGACGGATACAAGTCTGATCTGCATGTATGTATATGTAAGTATATATATATATAACAGAAAATGCCCAGGTACCTCTCGGCCCATCGTGGGCGCCCCACTGGTCCGTCGAGGGCAGGGAGCAGAGGGGGCTCCGCCACAGACGGCTTGCGAGACGTAAGAGCAGCGTGTCAAGCAGGGGGACGTCGGCTTGGATTACATTTTCGGGCCCTTGGAATTCGCGCGGCGACACCCAGAGGCTCGGATGGGGCTCGCCATCGCGTGACAGACTGCTTGCACGAGCGTCCCAAAGCTGGGGTCGTCTCCTTCTTTGGAGTCAACGGGTCCCCGCTGCCTCTCGCGTGCGCCCTGGGGCCCTTGGCATCGGCGGCGGCGGCCAGGCAACTTGCCGACCACTCGGGACGGTACACTGGCAAAGCGCGGGAGGGGAATGCCACGGGACCAGGGTGCTGTCTCCTCAAGCCTCAGGCGATCGCAAACATTGCGGGACGGGAAAATGACAACTGCCACTGCTTCTTGTTTGCGCCGCCTTCCAGCTGGTCGAAAAAGAAGCAGTGGTTGTGTTCATTTCCCTGGTGCCAAGCTCAACGAAAATGACCACAACCACTGCTTTGTTTCTGCGGGCTGGAAGGCGGCAACAAAAGAAAAGCAGTGGCTGTGGTCGTTTTCACGCCCCGTAAACATGGATCCAGGGGGCGCGGATTCGCGACGGGTCCCGGCTCCGTGGGGAGCCGCCGAGTTCTGCCGCCGAGCGAGGCGGCACTGGCCGCATTTTGGGGGGGTACCTCCCCCGATCCATGGATTTGGCGACCGCGCGCCAACTCCATGGATCGCTACAGTCGACCCGCAGAGTAAGGATAGGCATCCCTCCCAAGGGTACCCTTGCATCCTTGCTTCCTGGGTCCAGCCTGGGACACTTTCGTTGGCCGCACCACGCTCGAAACGCTTCGAAATGGGCGTCCAAGGGCCTTGCATCCTTATCGCGCATCCTTACTCTGCGGGTTGACTGTAATCCGTGTTTGCGCGCCCCCGAAAGTTGCAGCTGTCGGGAGTGCCGCTCGCAGAACAGGGCTCAGCCAGGTGGGGCACGCTGTGCCCCGCCTGGCGGGGCACTGCTCTGCCGGTGCAGGGCGTGGTCGCAGAGCAGGTCTCCGGCCCCAGATCCCCGACGTCGTATTTTCCATCAAGTCGACCCCCAGAGGTCTCGACCCACTCCCCCGGGCCAGCTCATCCTCCTGAGTCGTTTGTCTTGACAGTCCCGAGGGCGGGTCAAGGGCCCCCAGAGGCCGAACAGGAGGCAAGAACCTCCCGACGTTGTTTTTGTTCAGAATTCGAGGCGTTCTGGGTCCCCTCCCCTCCTCCCCCCCTCCCCGTTCGAGCCAGGCGATGGGCCGCTCGAGCTCTGCTTTTGTAGGTTGCCTCTCGGGGCGCCATGCGCCTCATACAGCGGAGGCCTGCTCGCGCGCGGGCGTGGGCACTCAGACCTCAGTTGGCGCGGACGCCAGCGCGAAACAGCAGGCCTCGCAGGCCACAGTGGCAAGACAGCCAGCCACAGGTAGGGCGTTGGCTGGCCCGGTAGCAGGTAGAGGGCGGCATCTGCGGAGTGGCATTCTCATGCAATGGTGAAGGCGATCCTTGCGCAGGGCACCCTTATCACGGGAGTCTTTTTTGATCGCGCGTGTTGGTTTCCTCTCGGGGCTCGGTTTCTCAGCCCCAGGAGGCAATGAGCACTCGCTCTTCCCCGTCTCCCCCCTGCCGCAACTTCTGAGTTGCTTCCTGCCTCGCCGTGCTCCGCAGTGGTCTGCCCTTCTCTGGCTTGCCTTGCGATGCTTCTGGTCATGCTGGTCTGGTTAGCTGGCGGCAGGCTAGGGCCTCCCAGCGGCCTCTGACAGTGCCTATTGAGGGCCTCTTCGGCACCTCTCGGGGTGCTCTTATAGGCTGACGGGTCCGCCTTGAGGCGATATTGGTCAACCGTGGTGGCCTTTGTGGTCTTGTTAGGTGGTCATGACAAACAATTCTACGGTTTTCTATGCCCTTTGGAGGCGCTGGTGACCGCTTCGGAGGCGTCAGGACGCCCGAGGAGCGTCGGGAAGATCAGAGGCGACGCTCGTTGGTGGACGCTCCCAGAGTGCGGGGGGCCTGCCGACAATCGCAGACACCCAGCCAGACAGCACACGCTTTCCGATTGTCACTCCTATTCCTATGCATACGTGGACGGCCCCGAAAAGGGGGGAGGGGGGGGTCCAAGCCTCCCCAATTGTAGCTACGTCCCTCCTCAGTTAAACAATTCCCACGAAAGAGGGGGTGTGGGGGGGTACCTTCAGAAATCTCCCCCTTTTCCAAGGGATGGGGGGTAGCTTGCAGCTCGCCCGATACGATTTTTCGTCGCAAAGCTTGATGTTAGGCGACCCTCAGCTGTCGGTTGAACGATGATGGGACTTCACATTATGGGAGGCATAACGCGCACACGCGCACTCATTCACAAGCTACGATTCGGAGTCAAAACGATCGGGTCGGAAAATGTACAATGTGACAGCTGTGGACCTTGTGGGGAATATATCACGGTGTTCCCTCCTCCCGCAGAAATTCCTTCTTGTTGTTGTTGTTGGTGGTGTTGTTGTTGTTGTTGTTGTTGTTGTTGTTGTTGTCGTTGTTGTTGTTATTGTGAATGTATTGTCTAAGCAATTGCCTCTTCACCCTCCTTGGTGGTGCTCATTCTTTGCACGCTTGCGATTGTCCTCTCGTGCTTGGCTGCCGTTTTTCCGATCCGCAGGTGCGGATCATGAAGACGTGGCTCGACGACGCGTGGCCTTCCCCGTGGCCCGCCCCATGACCGCCTCTTCGAGTTTCAAGCAGGGGTGCATGTGGAGTGGACAGCGGTGCTGCTGAAGCGTCGATGGCCCGAGGCAGGGATGTTCTATACACACCCCGGCGGATCGAGCTTCGGGCTCCTCGGCGGTCAGTGGATATGGTTACATTCGGGCCCTGGGCGGGGGCAAAACTACCTATATCCGTCTTCTGCCTGGAGACGCTGAAGCTCGATCCCTCAGGCGGTGGTCACGGACAAGCCCCCGCCTCGCAGACGGGGGCCCTCGGTACCCTGGGGAACAGTCGTTGCCAGCCTCCCTCCAGTTGTATGATGGCCCCTCCAGTCCCTTACCGGGGGAGGAGGAGGACCAGTGGGAGGACGGGCGGGACGTCGGGCCTGTCGGGATGATCGGATGATGGATCGCACATCGGCATTCCACGCATCGGTTGGGAGACATGGAGAGACTACAACAAGCGCGAATGCATTTGAAGCGGGCGGGGGCAGAAAGAGGCAGAGAGAAAGAGAGAGAGAGAGAGAGCGACAGAGAGAGAGAGGGAGAGAGACAGCGAGGGAGCGTTCTTGAGGATTCTGGCGTGTTTCATAGCTTGACCCCTGGAGATCCCAAGTGGTTCCGCAGGCTTTCATTCGTATCTCGTGAGCCTTTGTGAAAGCCTTCAATGATACTCGGTGGCTCATACCAGGTAGCCATGAAGGGTAAGGTCCTCAAGGAATCTGAAGGTCTCGATTCGAATTCATAAAGATTCGTTTGCTCCCATGTGATTCGATGATGTATGCTTGGACAGTACCGCCGATAATCCCCAAGGATTCCGTCTGGATTCCTTTCTAGGATTATTGTGGGATACACGAGGGTGGTCGCAGGTTCTGTGAGGTAGCTCGGGCATTCGTTTGATGTGGTTTCGGGCTGCTTCGGGCCCAGGATCTTGCAACACTCTGTCATTCGATTCCTTGAAATCTCCCACGTGTCAGGAGGAACGGAGTATGTCAGTAATCCTTTCGGAGGTAAATGAGGCCCGAGCGATATGCAGGGCGAGTGTAGGATTCTGGAATGATCCTTGAATCCTTGAATAGGTATTCGGTCTTGATGTGTGAGATAGTGAAGACGACCAGGCGGAAATGCGATTGACGAACCTCGTTGCCGCGTAATTGTCGTTCTTGGGTGCTGGTGCGGAGGCAAGCACACATATATATATACACACAGATACAGACATATAGATGGTCATAGCGCCAGTAGCACGAGACCCGAAGGAATCAGCGCCAGGAGAGAGAGGTGGAAGACGACAGGACGCAGGATGAATGAGGAGGGAGTGAGAGGGAGGACGATGTGCAGACATGATGGTGAGACGTATGACACATATGAAGAAACGAGGCATGACTATGCATACGATTCGAGGTGATACGTATGTCTGAACATGTAATGTCTACACACATATACAGATTTCACTCCCCAATCTTGCTTTTTTCCACAGCTGTCTATCGTTACACATTCTCATTTTGTCCCATATGCATACCAGTATATCTCCACAAATTTATACACATTTATTTAAACATGTATACATGTACATTCGAATATTCACGTGCGTTCTTGTTGATCCGTTTCTCTCACACCATCGCTCTCTATGTGTATCGCTCTCTCTGTGTCTCGCTTTTGTTCGCTCTTAGCCTTTTCTCCTTCATGCTTATGTTCTCATTCACGTGACTCTCGCTCAGTCTGTCTGTGCCCATGCTTGTTTGATTGCGTGTTTGCTTACGTGCTCCTAGTTCTCCGTATCTGTGCTCCTCTGTCTCTCATTCACCGCTTTTCTCGATTCCTCACCTACATTTTGGTCGGGCCTGTCCCTCTACAGAGGGAGCATTCAAAAACAGTCAAAACAACATCAGGCGACGATTGTTTTACATTGTTTTCTGCATTGTTGGGGCATTTTTGAGGTATTTGTTTATTTTTCGTCCAACATCCGCCAATAGGGGGACACGCCCGACCTAACCCTATATCAATTTTCCTCCTCGCTTTCCCCCCCCCGCTCCCCTGACCATGGTCGGCGGCTCAGGCATAGCCCGGCCTCCGTTTCTCAGAGCCTCGCCTCGTTCCAGTGGTCTTCCCACGGTGGGACAACAGCAAGCCCATATTCATACCCAGATTCGGATGCCTTTCCTACACGGTTGAATTCACCGTTGGCGTTGGCAGATCCGTGGCCGGCAGCGACGTAACCCCGTTGAGACATAACTCGTCCGTGCAATCCGGCCTTATCCATGCCAGTCCGGTTCAATGGCCTTCCAATCAGGCCTACAGCCCTTGCTCGGACATCCGCAGATCTTCCAGGAGTTACCGCCTTAGAAATACGATGGGCGAGCCTGATGAGCTGACAGCCAGCACCCATACCTACGCGACCGCAGATTTCTCGCGGAGGACTTTCGGGGGGGACGGGGGCTATTATTAAGTCGGGCCTGTCCCTCTACAGGAGGAATGTTCAAAAACAGTCAAAACATAGCCTGGGGACAATGTCTTTGGAGTACGGTTGTATATATATTATTTTTTTTTGGGGGGGGGGTTATCATTCTTCGCCCAAGATCTTCCTGTAGGGGGACAGGCCCGACCCAAGGCTATGGGTGGGTGCTGTCACATGGGGGGCCACCGCTCGAACGGGAGGCCCCCCTCGGGATCCGACCATTTCCACCCGTGCCTGCAGCTTCGTCGCCCTGCCCTCTCTCACGCTCCTCTCGCCCCTCTGCAGCTTCGGGCGCGCCCGTCCTGTGAACGGCAGTCCCTCAGGCGGGAAATAAGCACACAGACACAATTAGTCGTCGATGCCTAGGAAAATATAGGAAAATCTCGGGATTGGGGGGGAAGACAAAACCCTGAAAAGATGGGAAAATATGGGGGACCCTTTTTTTGTGTGTATTTCTTTGTGTGTCCTGGGGCCCCTTCCGTCCCGTCCTGAGCTCCGACGTGTCCTCGACGCGGATCCGACGTGCCTTCGGCGTGGACGCGGCACGGATCCGACGTGAGTTCGACGTGGATGCGGTATCGATGGCTGGCGCGATGGGGTAGACGAGATCCCTCAACGATGCAACGTTACGGTAGGTTTGCGTCGTGTCGACCAGCGGCGACCCCAGCGCAGGCGTTCAAGGTTGAACGCCGCCGGCGACCCAGAATCGGTCGATGTTGAACGATTGGACGTTGCGGAAACGGCCGATCGTTCAAGGTTGAACGATCCCCGCGGTGTCAGAAACCAACGCCGAAGTCGGCACGACACGAACCCGCCGTACCTTCCCTCCCCCCCCGTCCCCGGGAGGGGTGGGGGGGGCGGGCACCGGGTGCACAGTCAAGGCCCAAATAGCAAGGGTCCCCAGGATCAGGAGGGGGAAAGACGCACAGACACAATGAGTCCTCGATTCTCAGGAAGATATGGGATCCCATGGGAAGTGGGGGGGACGAGGAAAACCCAGAAGATGTGCGAAAATATCGGGGATCCTGTTGTTTGTGTCCCAGGGACCCTTCGTAGGAACGCGAGCATGGATTAGGGCGCGTGGATCGCCGACGGGTCCCGCTTTCGTGCAGCATCGGAGCGCTCCGGCGCCCGTGGGGGCGCTCCGGCAGGGGCCTCGCCTTCGAGGGTCGAAGGAGTTGCCGTCTCTCCTCCTCCTCCTCCTCCTCCTCCTCCTCCTCCTCCTCCTCCTCCTCCTCCTCCTCCCCCTCCTCCTCCTCCTCCTCCTCCTCTTCCTCCTTCTCTCCCTCCTCTCCCTCCTCCTCCTCCTCCTCCTCCTCCTCCTCCTTTTCCTCTCCCTCCTTCTCTCCCCCTCTCCCTCTCCTCCTCCTCCTCCTCCTCCTCCTCCTCCTCCTCCTCCTCCTCTTCCTCCTTCTCTCCCTCCTCTCCCTCCTTCTCTCCCTCCTCTCCCTCCTCCTCCTCCTCCTTCGACGGAAGGCGCCGGAGGCCCCGATGAAGCTGGCGGAAGTAAATCGAGGGCGGCCCCGCTGGCGGAAGCCGGCGGAAGGCCGGTTGGGGCCACTCCCACAGGGGTGGGGGTGCGCGGGAGCGGGGTTGAGGCCAGTCGGGCCTGCCGCTCCGCGCCCGCTGTCCGTTTCAGGGCCTCGTTTCCGATGTTGAAACGCGCCGCGTCGTTTTCACGGTAGTGCTGGTGCCCCCGCTAAACTTCCGAGGCAAAGGGAGTCGCGTTGAAAAAAAAGGAAGGCCGGTTGAAAGTTGGCGGAAGTAAAAGATGTCCCCTCAGGGATGGCAGCGTTGTTGGGCTCCGGTTGTCCAGCATCGGCCAATGGAAGCTGCGTTGGCTGAACGTTTTCGTGATTGCCTTTCCCGATCCGCGGATCTGGAGCCCACGCGCCAGATCCACGGATCCCTGATCCATGTTGGCGCGTGCCCGAGGTGTGCAATGTTCCAGCGAGGTTGCCCGCGCATCCTTGTCCATCCTGGCCACTCCTGGGCCCCAGCTTATGTTATTCACCGAGCGTGTTCCACTACTTTCAAAGTTCCTACTCGCACATGTGCAGACGACAAGCGTTGTTCGACACGATGGAGATTATGTGCCTCGACGCAAAGGATCCATTTGCGAATAGCCACTTTGCGACTGGTGGAACGCGCTTGTGTAACTCCGGGTCTCATGGGCCCCAGCACCACCTGTGCCGCTGGTCCAGTGTGTGCGCCCTGGGGTCGCCCACGCTTGCCCTGCACGCCCGCCACGCATGCTTGCCTTCGGCGGCGCGCCCAGGGGGGAACGCAGAGGGGGAGGGCCTTCCCAGAGGGCTCACGAGGCCTCCGAAGTCTTCCGCGAGGCTCTCCGGGCCTCCCCCGGAGCCGCGAGGGGGCCTCTCACGAGGCCGAGGGGCTCAGGAGAAGCCCCGTCGCCGTCTGAGCAGGCCTGCCGCCTCTCTGAACCCCCCCCCGTTGGGTGCGCCGCCGAGAGTCGTGTGAGCATGGGCTTCGTCTCTGTCCCTCCGTGCCCCCCCTCGCCCTCCCCGATGGCTGCCGCCGTCGCCTCCCCGGATGTGCTGCGCCTGGGCGACGGCACCGAGATCAGCCTCGCGAGGGTGCCCGGCGTGGACGAGTCCACATGGGGCGAGGCGTTCAGGGCCTCGAAGAGCAAGCGGCCTTGAGATGCAACTCCGGGGAGGTGCAATGCAGCATCGGTGCGGGTCTGGCGATGCCATCTATCGCAGACGAGTAGCATTTCCAATTTGCACGATCTGGCACCACAGCCCTTTCCGCCACACGTCAGAGCGACCCTTTGCCAGAGTGACCTCCCCTCCCATCGCCGAGCGCGAGGCGCTCGCGGCTGCCTGCGTGCCGGGCTCCGGGGCCAACCTGCGCCCCCGGGGCCCGCGCACCCCTTGGGGCTCGCCCTTGCCCGGGGGGTCACCCCTGGCGTGGCAGCCGTTCGCCGGGGCGACCGTTCCTCTTTTTCTCTCCGCGGGCGACGGCGGCGACGGCGACGGCGGTGACGACGCGTTCCTCCGAAGGCCAAGGCTCGCGAACCCTCGGTGGCCCCAGGGCTGGCTCGCACGGGGCTCTGCTCTCGGGCCCGTGGGCAGGTTGCCGGCAGGCCTCCAGGCCCCCCACGCCTCGGCCGGGGAGCGGGCTCGGAGGCCCGCCGTGGAGGAGCGGCGTGGCCGCCGGGAGGGAGCGGCTCCCGAGGCTCGGGGGAGCGCAGCGGCGGCGGTGAGACGCGGCGGACGAGAGGAGCAATGGCCTGGCGCCGCTCGGACGTGTGCCTCTGTTCTCGGCGAGAACCATCGAGGACCATCCTGGACCATCGAGCAAAACGAGCACGCGCGACACCGAACGATGCACGGGAAATGGACGCCCGAGCGATGGCAAGCAGCCAGTGACGCTCTGGCGAGACGCTCTGGGCGGGTCCAGCCGCTGCGACGAGGGCCGCCCCCGGGAGGACCAAGAGTCAGGCGGAAGCGAGGGATCGGGCAGATCGGTGCCTGTTCCTCCTCTGGGTATTGCTCGGCGGCGAACCGAGGGTTCAGTCGGGCCTGTCCCTTTTAAAACATAGTTGGGGGACGATTTTGTGATGATCATTTTTGAAGATTTGTGGAATCTTGTTGGAATGCTTTTTATGTTTCGTCCAAAGTACGCCTGTGGGATGACAGGCCCGACCCAGCCTTCCCAGAGGGCGGCGGGCCTTCTCTCAGGAGTCTCCGCGCCTCCCGAGAAGCTGTCCGCGTGCTCGGGGAAGGCTTCGGAAACTTCTCGGAAGGCGCGAGGGCTTCTGAGAAGTTCCGTCGCCCTCTGAGAGGGCCTGCCCCCTCGCACTTCCCCCTGGGCTCGCCGCCGAGTAGGATCTACCGATGCCGCTGCCCTTCCGTCGTAGCCACGGCTGGATTCGCCTCGTCAGGACGCGCCCAGAAGAGGTCTGGAGAATAGCGGTGGTACCTGTACCCTGTTGCCCCCCAGAGGACTTGTCCTGCGCTTTCGGGTGCGAGTGTTGGGTGGCGACAGTGGCAGAGGGCACAACAGACCTCGAGCGCCACCCCTGGGTGGCAAGGGTGGCAGAGGGTGAACACGACCTCGAGCGCCATCCAAGAGAGCAGCCACGACTCTCAAGGAGTAGGCGCCGTCCTCCCTGTTTTAACGCATGGCGGGTGCGTTGACGTGAACACATTCCAAATTCCTGGGCCGCCAGGACCGTCAGAAAACCATTCGGGCCCCAGGGGAAGGCCCCGGGATGTTGATGATGATGGTGATGGTGATGGTGATGAGGAAGATGAAGATGCTGATGATGTTGATGCTGCTGATGATGATGGCGATGATGTGACGATGATGCTGATGTTGCTGATAATGATGATGTTCCTGCTGATGATGACGATGCCGATGCCGATGAGGATGATGATGTTGACAATGCTGCTGATGATGTAGATAATGATGGTGCTGATGCTGATGCTAATGATTCAGATGATATGTAAACTATGATGATGCAGATGATGTTGGTAACGCTGGTAATGGTAATGCTGACAAGCATATGCTAATACTACAACGGAACATGATGATGCTGATGGTAGCATTGATGATGATGATAACCCTGATGATATTGATGACGTTTACCATGATGGTGTCTGTGATGAGGAGGACTATGATGCTGATGATGCTGGTGATGATGATGATTAGGATGATGATGATGATGATGATGATGATGATGATGCTGATGATGATGATGATGATGATGATGCTGATGTTGATGCTGATGATGATGACGATGATGATGATGAGGAGGAGGAGGAGGAGGAGGAGGAGGATGATGATGACGACGACGATGATGATGATGATGACGGTAGGCTGTTTATCCTGGTGGTGATGATTATGGGGAGGAGGAAATTGAGGATGATGCATCGTATGCGACGGCGACGATGATTGCGACGACGATCATGATGCGGATGTGCATGTTGTTATTGATGATGGTAACGATGGTGGTGCCGATGATGATGACGACGACGAAGCCGACGCCGACGACGACGATCGTGTTTCTGCTGAGGACGATGGCGAGGAGGAGCAGCAGCAGCAGCAGCAGGAGGAGGAGGAGCGTGACGAGGAAGGCCGTTACATGTGTCACCTTGTTCTCTTCATTGGTTTAAGCAGTTCTCTTGGGATTCGTTCGGACCACTTGGGGCTGCCGTGGCCTCCTGGGAGGCAGTCTTCGGGGTCCTTCGGATCCGTCTTGAGCTGCCTTGGGGCCATCCTGTTCAGTTTTGGGGCTCTGTGGGGCCGTCTCGGGGACCTCTTTGCTGTATGGTGGGTGTTGGTGGGCAGGTTTGGGTAATCGAGAGGCCGTCGAAGGCAGTCTTGGAACCCACGGGAGGCCCTCTTGGGCCGTTTTGGGGTAGTCTTGAATGCCTTGTGGGTTGGGCCATCTTGAGACCTCCCTGGGTCCCTCTTGGGGGTCTTTGGGCTGTATTGGCGCCATCGTGACAGCTCCTTGGGTCGTCTTGAGCTGGCCCAAGTTCGAAACTGCGAGAATGCACAACTCATTCAAAACCGAGGGACAAACGATGACTCGGGCTTCTTCGGACGGACCCTGCCTGAGGTCATCGTGTGACCCGTTTCGCCTTCTCGGAGGCATCTTGGGCCGTCTTGGGGCCATATGGTGGGGGCATTCGTTAAGGAATGTGCCCAAGAGGTTGCAGACCCTGGAGGATTCCTTAAGTGATGAGAGCGGCGGCGATATCCCTGGCCGATCCAGGATCAGGTTTCCACCGCTTTCAGACCCTGGGTTCCTTATCTAAGGATTCCTTGCCCAACGCTCCCACCGTATTGGGCCGCCTTGGGGCCATATTGACACTCCTTCGAGGCAGACTGGGCTATCTTGGTGCTTGCATGAGCTGTCTCGGAAGCTCGGGACGCATACTTACCAATTGCGTCTTACGAGGGATCATGGCCTCGGAAAGGGGGGGCGATTCATGCAGGGAATGCGGCTGAGGATGAGTGGGTGGTGTCTTTTCTTCTAATACAGAAGCCCAGCCAGACAGCGCTTTGCATTCTTCCACGCATCAACGTGCACAAGGCACCACGTCGGATCACCGATCAATCGGCGATGTATCGCCGATTCCAGGTCGACATCCACCCCCTCCGCCCCCCGTGCCACTCCCCTCCTATCGTTGCCTCTCAGTGTCATAGGAGCTGATCTACAAACATTCACACCCTCACGCAAGTCCTACTGCAACCAGACTTTTCCGAGCTGGTGCCCCCCCCCCCAGGTGAAGGACTACCTGCAGGGCAACCCAGACGTGGCCAAGAAACTGCAGGTCAGGCCGCCAGAATCGGGTGCATTTACCGACGGAGACCTTGCCCCCCCCCCCCCCCCCCCTCCCCGCCGCCACCCAACATGATGGGAAACTTGCCAGGGGACATGCCATTCTCCATGTATTCTTCCCCACGGTATTTGCTGACGCCCTCGTCCGCGACGCGGCCGTTTGCGGGTCCCCCGGCAGGCCTTCTCGAAGGACCCCGAGGCGATGCGAGGTTGGCTGCAGACGCAGGCCATGTCGGACCATTACCAAAGGAAGCTGGGGGTCGCCGACGATGAGGTGCAGGGCCGCATGAGGGCGCTGGAGCAGGACCCGGAGCTCGCCCCCATCATCGAGGACATCAAGAAGCACGGGATGGAGGCAGTCATGAGGCACTACCAGGACGAGGAGCTGATGCTCAAATTTAGCAAGGCCATGGGCGGGGTGCCGGAGGAGCTCAAGCCCGCGCTGAAGAAGATCGACGAGACGCCCCTCTCGCTGCACGAGGCGGCCAAGATGGGCGACCTCAAGGCTGTCCAGGAACACATGGAGAAGAAGAGGCCACTGGACGCCCAGGACGCGAGGGGCATCACCCCGCTGGGCTACGCCGTCGGCGGAAACCGTATCGCCGTCGTCAAGCTGCTGCTGGACAGCAGGGCCAATCCATTCGCGGTCGACTCCAACGGCAACTCGGCGCTTCACTACGCGGCTGGCTACGGGCGCAAGGAGTTGGTAGAGTATCTGCTTAAGACGGGTGGGAGCGTGGCGCAGGCCAACGCTCAGGGCCGGAAGCCTCTCGACGTCGCCACGCAGAACAGGCACGATGCTGTGATCCAGGTTCTGCGAGCTCACGGGGCGCAGTGATTTGTTATGTTCGTTGTTCTCCGACGTCGTCAAGTTCTGTTCGTCTGTTTTTGGTGTCACGTTGGCACGGCCGTTCGGCCAGATGCACGTCGGAATGTGTACCCTAGTGGTTGGCATGTGTATCTTTTTAACCTGCGGAGGGACGCCACCGAGCGCCTCCCAAAGACGACGGCCGCTTCACTAGGCGAGCAGCCGTGCGTCTACACGACAGGCGTGCGTACAGCCTGCTGAGTTCGACGAGCTCAGAGAGCCCTCGCGATCTCCTCCCCGCCCCCCCGGCGTCCGGGCCCCCCGGGCCGCGTGCCCCGACGATGGCCCCGCGGGGCGTCCAGATCCGATCCTGCGCTCGCCGGTTGGCACCAACGTGAAGTCAGGCGTGCCCCTCTGCAGGAGGACTATCTTCAAAAATGCAGTCGGGTTGCTGAAGAAGGAACCCTTCTCGTTGGGGAGGGGCTCCGTATTCCCTAATTGCTTCACAGCTTGCCTCAGGTTGTCCTTCTGTTTTCGATGGGACATCGAAGTTTAACTTATGGAAGCGAGGGGCCTCGTTCCGTATTTAGGGTTCCCTGGGTCAACGCCCCGGCTGTAGTCAAACCATGGTCTGGGGGTGAGTGGGCCCTGGAAACGACAGGGCCGTTGTTTTACCGGTCCCGTTTTGCCGTTCGCGTTGCCGGTTCCGACGCTGTTTTTTTACCCGTTCCGTCGCCGTTGTTTTACCGGCTCCAGTTCCATTCCCGGAGCCGTTTTGTTGCCGTTTCTCGTCGCTGCTTCTTTTGTCGTTTCCACTTTCAAGACGCTTTTTCGGAGGCGGTGAAAACACGGCCCTGCCGATTCCGGGGCCCACTGGTCTGGGGACGATCTTTCGACAGTTGTTATTTACGATGTTCGAGCAGTCGTTGACTATTCTGTTGATTTTTCCTGCAGAGATCCGCCTGCAGGAGGACATGCCCGACCTAACACCAGCGGCGATGCTGCCTGCCCTGCCTGCGCAGGGTCGCGAGGGAGGGGGCGGGGCCGCGTGGGGAGGAGTTACTCCTCCTCTCCACCTCCTCCTCCTCCTCCTCCTCCTCCTCGTCCTCCTCCTCCTCCTCCTCCTCCTCCTCCTCCTCCTCCTCCTCCTCCTCCTCCTCCTCCTCCTCCTCCTCCTCCTCCTCCTCCTCCTCCTCCTCCCCCCTCCTCCTCCTCCTCCTCCTCCTCCTCCTCCTCCTGCCCCGAGGGTGGGGGCCTGGCACCTGTTCTCATGGTGTCAGCGCCACACTCCTCGGGGCACACTGTCAGTTTCAATTGAATGCGGCGGCTGGGGTCAGATAAACCGGCTTTCGTCGTTTTTGCACCAGCCACGTGGCATTTTGCCCGTGGCAGCGGCGCGTTAGCTGCGCTCGTGACCTGGATATGGGTACCAGGCACGGGGAGTGTGCATTGGGTTGAGAGGCGGGGCCATGTTGTCCGTAAGTCCCTTGGGACCTTGTGTCCGCTCACCCTGGGGTACGTACCCAGTTGCACATGCCATCCGATTCGGCAGGGGTGACGGTCGGGAAGTACTGCGCGGTGACGCGGTGAACCGGCTGTCCCCCTACGCACCACGCCGTCTCGGTTGGGCAGCGAGTTGCTGAGCGACGAGGTATATGCCTTTCCCCTGACCGTCGGTGCTGGCGCCTGCGGGCCCCTTCCTCCTGTCTGGGAGGCCGAGGGTGACGGTTGAGCCTCGCTCGCCTTTCACTTATTGGATCTACGACACTCATGACACTCCTTTTCCTCCTCCTCCTCTTCCTCCTCCTCCTCCTCCAAGTTGGCAGGAGAAGGGGGCGGAGGAGCGAGCAAAGCTGAATTTGTCGGAGGAAGGGAAGGTGCTCAAACAACTGCCCGTCGGTCGTTCAGACTCAGGCCTCTTTGTGTCAGCTTCCAATCTATCTTAAGCGCCTTCCAACTTCATTGATCGAGTTGGTTCACCTCGTCCGTCCTCTTCAGAAAGCAGGCGGACGCCCAATTTACGTCGAACGCGTTCCTACTTCATGTGTTTACTTCTTTCGACGGATGGCTACCCTTCCCTCGCTGTCCTCTGTATCGGCCTCTTGGGAGGCCCTCGTCGCCACCGCTGGACACGCCTCGAAACCCCACGTAAGAACGCACCCCGGGAGAGGCCTGGGAAGTAGTTGTATCGTATCGGTCCCCGTCGGCTTTCCCAAATTCAGGAGCAGCCAACCCGTAGCTTGGCCAAGACAGCGCAGACTCTGCAGAAAGGTATCGGATCAGTGCGGCACGGGGCACTTTTGCGTGAACCAGGGTTCGTTTGGCAAAAGCACGGGTCGATTGTGGTTTATGCCATTCCGTTGGTCCCCTTGCAGATGTTATGTGCGGTTTCCGATGTAGTCTGCGTTGTTTGCCGCGACCCGTCGGCTTGCGTGCAGTTGCTTTTGGTTCCCCCCTTTTTCTCCGCGTCTTCGTTGGGGCATTTTCGAGGCCACGGTGGCGCCATTTTGGGAGCGTTTCATGGATCTGGGATTCGTTCGGGGGGCCTCTGAGGGGTTCTTGGGGTCTGGGGTCAGTATCGTTCAACCGACCCCCATCCCCATCCTCGTCCTCTTCGAGACCCCCACCAAATTACCACCCCAGTTGGGGATACACCCCTCGAACTCCGAAGGGAACGACTTATAACCCCATCTAGGGAGGTAAATGGGCCAGTGGGCCCAGGCCGCGCCGATTGACGCTTCGCGTATCCCCGCCAGCCCATCCAGAAAACAGATCGCCAGGTGAGTTGCCCTTGGACAGGGTAGTGTAGCAACATGCAGTGTAGCATTCGCTTCAGAGGTTGCTTCGGGGGGTCCTTGGAGCCGCCTTGGGTCGCTCCTGGGGTCCTCGCGGAGCCTCCTGGGGCACTATTGAGGCCCTCTTGAGGCTCCTGTGGGTGGTCTAGGAGCCCTCTTGGGTTTTTTCTCTGGGTCTGGAGAGCCTCCTGGGGCCGTTTTGGGCCCCGTGGCTCGACAAGGGGGGGGCGGGTAGAAGTTCAGATCCCCCCCCCCTCGGAGGCTCCAGCATGATGTCTTGAGGCCCTCGTGCGGCGCTCCTGGGGCGCTCTTGGGCGTTTGGGGGGGCCCTCGTGGACCGCTCTTGATGCTCTCGTGGGCCGTCCTGGGGCCATCTTGATGCCTCAAGGGCCCATCGGAAGCGAAACGGTGAGACGGCAACACACACATTCATTGCCATTGGGTTGTTGAAGGATTTTGGCTTCTTGGGTAGGCCCTGGAGGGCTCGGAGGGCACTTCAGGCCGCCTGGGGGCAGTCTTGAGGCCTCTTGGATGTGTGTCGGAGGCTATCGCGACCGATCTTGAGGTATCTCGGAGCCATCTTGGGCCATCTTGGGCGCTACCCCCCTCCCAGGCCCATGGGAGGGGGTAGGGTCAGGGGGAGGGGTCAAGGCACCGTCTGAGGTAGCAAGCCGTCTAGCTCACTCCCACCCGCCCTCCCAACACGTAAGTAATGTTCGAGCCTCAGCATGTGCAGCGGTCGTCTTTGGACGGAGAGCTATTGGGAAACGAAACCGACCCCATGTGCGCGACGCTGGGGCGAGGTGTGTCACGCGTGCCAGGCGCGCCACGCGCGCCAGGCACCACGGGGGCCCTAGCGTGCAAGGCACGCCTGGCGCGCCAGCTACGCCACGTGCTCCACGTGCGCCAGGTTTGCCGCATCCTCCAGCCGCGCCAGGTGCACCACGTTCGGGACACGTGCAGGGTGTGTCAGGTGCGCGTGCGCACGTGCCAGCACACACCTGGAAACTTGTCGGTCCCCACCATCCTTGTCGGAAGCCAATGCCCATCATTGTGTCTGGAGGGCCTGCGCACAGCAGGCCATATGCCACCACCCCCGCCGTCCTTGTCATAGACCACTTTACAGTGATCGCGGGGTGACCGTGCATGATCCAAATGTAGCGGCGAGATGCACGGTGTATTGTTGTTGTTCAGGGATGGTGGCCTTGCGCGCAGCAGGCAATATTTACGCGGAACGAAAGATTTTCTTCTTGATGTGAAGATGGCGATGCTGAGTTCACAAGATGGCATCGGGCCGCCGAACGGACGGCGTCTGGACGAGCTGCGCGCAGCAAGTGGGAACACAGATGCGTATTCCAGTTGAGTGGGGCCCGCGCGCGCGGAAATTTTCTTGGAGTGCGCGGGGCAGCGCAGGGCCCATCTTGCGTACGCATCATATCTTGAGACATCTCCTGGTGCCCTCGCCGCGCAAAAGAAGGCGCCGCGCGGGCACACGCAGCCGAGGGGCACGCGCGTGGAGGGATGCGCGGGGCCTCCCGCGCAGCAGCCGCCGCGCGCGCTCGAGGCCGATGAGCGTGGGCTTCTGCGGGGCAGTGTCCGCGCTGGACCACCTTTTCTGGCGCGCCCGCGCTCCGCCGCGCTTGACGGCGCGCCGAGGGGGGGGGAAGTTCGATGTCTGCTCATGGGAGCCTTGGAGGCGGCATTGACACCAGCCTTGCCCGCATCTGAACTGCATTTCGACCGCATGTGGCGCTGCTTCCTGCTCCTGCTCGCCCGTCCTGTTCTTCCTCGCCCTCCTCGTGCTTCTCGTTTCCATGGTGTTCAAACTGTGCTCCAAAACCGGTCCCAACCAGGCCCAGATCGGACAGCACCAGGAGGCCATGTTGGCTCTCGTGGAACAGACACCACAGTGAAGCCCTTCGGGGAAGCGAGATCGGATTTTTTTTTGTTCAATGCGAGATCCCTGGAAGTCTCGATCCTCCCAGGGACCAGCTTCTCATCGCGAGTTGTTTCTAAACGGTCCTGGGGGCCTAGCGAGGGCCTCCAGAGGCCAAACGCGCAGAACGACTTGTGTCTTGATTCTGTTCGAGACGCTGGCTTCGGAGAAGGCTACTCCCGTCGCGAGTCACCGGCTCTCTGCGTCCTCAGAGCTCCACTCTCGGCGTGCACCTGCACCGATTCGGCGCCCACTCGGCGTCGGTGCCGCGTCGACCAGCGTCGGGCAGCGTCGCTCCGCGAGAGCCAGCAGGATGCCACCGGGCGGCTCCCAGGAGGCGCCACCGAGGGCCCCGGAAGTTCCTCGCGGGAGTGCGGAGACCCTCCGAGCCTTCCCCGCCCACTCCTCCTCCTCCCCCGTCCACTCCTCCTCCTCCTCCTCCTCCTCCTCCTCCTCCTCCTCCTCCTCCTCCTCCTCCTCCTCCTCCCTCTCCTCCTACTCCTCCTCCCTCCTCCTCCTCCTCCTCCTCCTCCTCCTCCTCCTCCTCCTCCTCCTCACATCCCTCCTCCTCCTTCCTCCTCCTCCTCCTCCTCCTTCCTCTCCTCCTTCTCCTCCTCCTCCTCCTCCTTCCTCCTCCTCCCTCCTCCTCCTCCCCTCCTCTCCTCCTCCTCCTCCTCCTCCTCCTCCTCCTCCTCCTCCTCCTCCTCCTCCTCCTCCTCCCCTCCTCCTCCTCCCCCCCCCCTTCCTCCTCCTCCTCCTCCTCCTC